CGACCCTTCTACCTCCGGCAGGCCCCTGAGCCCTTTTAGCTGTTTCACTTGACGGCTCCCCGCCCCCCCTCGAGCCCCTCGCCGTCCACTTTCGCTTTAAGCCCCTCCTCACCCTCCCCTCTTCACCTGGGTGCATCACTTCTCCAAAAAAGTTACCTCTCTTTCTTTCGATTTTTGGGATCGGCGCTTAGGTTCACATCGGTTTCTATTCCTCATGCTCTGAGGCTTTGCATCTTATCGTTTTGTCCACCCAAGCGTATGTCCCTCGGATTCACCCACAATCCCCCTCCCTCCCCTCCCACCAATCCACCACCAATTACCCAACCCCCCTCCTCACTTCCTTTGAAACCACCAACAACCGTCTGTTTCGGTGTGACTGCGCCTCTCATACTTTTTGCTTCCCTTTTCCGACCGTCTCATTCGTTCGCACATTCTTCTCGATCCAATGTGTTGTTGACCGAGGACCGTCGGGAAAAAAAATCGTTGATAATTGGACCCCGGCTCTCCCATCTGGGAAAAACCACAACATTACACAACACTACCATTACACTCACCATTTCCAAAAAAGACGCCCGCGCTGACCGAAGATTTTAGAAAGGCAGAGCGATGATTAGCTTCAGGGTGGAACATCATTCAGATTCCTCGAGACTCCGTCAAGATCACCCTTACCGTGGACCCGACTCCGGATCGTTCGACGGCAATGTCGATGGCCAGTGAGACCAGTAGTGCCACCACTATGACCACCTTCGCCGCTCCGGTCCCTGCTACCAGATCGCTGCCCACAAATCAGTCGGCGCTAGCGGCGTCATTCACCAACTTCCTTACCGTGTCTGTCCACCAAATTCTTTTTCTGCGCTCCGTCTACCCGCGCGCGACATTCCTTCCCGTTCGGGCATACAACTATCCTGTCCGACAATCCCGTCACCCTAAAGTGTGTGACTATATTAATGATGCATCAATCGCGGTCGGAACAGAGATCTTAAAAGGCACAATCACCGCAGTCAGTATCATCATTTCATCTCTCCGCACGAATCAACCCCTCGAACGATATGCCTTCGATCTGTCGGACTTCCCACGGGCTCCGGCTGGAGAAGTAAACACTACATTTGCGGACAGAAATGGAGATTCATCTAATGCAGGAGCTCCCGTCTCCGACCTGGGCCCCGCGCCAACCTCGGTTGACCTCGAGTCACAGTTCAGAGCTTGTCTGGCTCGACTGGCGTCCGCATGTGCGCGCCTAACCCCTTTACCGCGGGATGACGAATTCAGCTTTACTGTCTGTATTGAAGTGCGGGAGGATGCGTTACCCCCCGCTGGAACAACCAACGAAGAACAAACGTGGATTGTGGCCGAGCCTGGCAAGGTGCACCTTCGATCCTGTACCGCCCCTTACTCCGTCTCGAAAGCACGGAGCGGTGAGCCACAGCGGCCACCCCCGCCAGTGTCAAACGGTCGCGCCAAAACAGTACCGGTACGCCGTGTGGAGGCCGGGGAATTACGGTTGGAGTTATGGGTGGAAGAAGCGCGGCAGAAATTTAACGAACCGGTGGATTCAGAGCAGCCACCCTGAAAGATAATCTCTTATTAGGGATATATTTGTGTCAAATCTGCGGAAACTGTTGTTCGTTTGGTTATCTGTCCACACACCCATTCATTCTTGATTTAGCGTGACCAATGATCGAACATACATGATGGACGAGGAAACTAGAGATTTCCGCCCGCAAGAAAGTGGCGCAAATATATAAAATGGGGAGCGAACGATTTTTGGGACTCGCATGGCATTTTTCTTTTCACATTTACATAGATCGGGCTCACATTTTTCCTTGTTCGCTTATCCTTCAACCTCTTTTCCCCAGCACTTTGCTTTTCTTCTTCCCTTCTTTCATCACGACATTCATTCTCAACTTCCTCTCCTCCCTCTTTGTTTCTGGTCTTGCCATTTTTCGACTCATATCGTTCCCCCTCTTGCATCGTGTGCTGAATTCTTGAGTATTAACTCTCCATGCTGATCTTTTATATTTGCGGGCCGGCCTTTCTTATTATTTCATACCATCTCCCTTCCGTTGTATTCCATTCGTCTCCTTTGTCGAAACTTTTTCAACTACATGATTCTATTTTTTTTTCTAGCCAATCCAACTACCTAGCAACCTAGCTCCCAATGTCGTCTCGTGTCTGGAATTACTCACGCCTTCGACGGTTGTGTTATATTGTCAACTTGAAGTTTTTCTCACATCCATGGATCTTGTCTCAAAGTTTGTCGTGGACTTTCCAAGGTTTGGATCCCGAGGTCATGATTGTTTGACAATATTCTGCGTCTTTCATGTTTTGTGCCCCAGGTGCTGGATTCCAAGGTTGTTATGCCGTAATGTCTTTGCATCCCGCTCTTTCTTTCTTTTGACCTTTCATGTTCTTTTTATGCGACCATGGCATGCATTCTTGTTTTTTTCTTGCTTCTCATCCTCAAATTTTGCCTTTGTACTCGGCTGGTAGGAAATAGGTCACAAGGCGTTGTCGCGCAAATATCATATAGCCACTCCTGTGCAGTATACAGAATGGAGACTGTTTTGAACCGGATACCTAGGTAGTATACGTCTGCATGCAGGTTAATTCGAGTTCCAATACATCAATAAAAACTACCACTGGTATTGGTAGGTAGTAGGTCACAGCCCTGGAGCAGACACGATTCATTACTACCTAGGTAGTATGTATAAAGTCTTAGTATTTTGAACAGGGGCTCTCTCAAAAAAAAAAAAGAAAAAACCTTGAAGTAAGTTTCAAGTTTCTTTTTCAAAATCCCGATACCAAATTGAACCCTTGGAAGATACGCTCAAGTTCACGTTCCAGCATTCTTGTTTGTCGTAGCACCTGGGCAGACAAGGCATCGGTGGCGTTTGACTTAACACTGACCCTATTAGTTTGTCGAAAGGTAGAGGTGCTTTCTCCCAGTATAAAGCCGATACTTTAATCCGTACCAGACGTTTCGACAAGCACAGTTTCTTCGTCAGCAACTTGAAAAAGAAGCACTCTCTAGGCCATATTTTAGTAATATTCTTGTATTATGAATGCGAACTTCAAACATACTGTGGCCTAAGGGTTGTCTAGTGCTTTTTTAGGTAGGTATAGTACTCAGCGTTTCCTATTCAAGCTCAACGGCAGCTGTACCTCGAATATCACAAGCCGATAAACTTTATAGACCTTTCAGATGTGGGTATTTTCAACAACTTGAGTTTATTCCGAGGATTATATAGTGGAAGCTCCAAGGCTGGGACTTTGGCAATTTTAACAAATAGGAGATGGCCGCTTCTAGTACCAGGCTCGGTCGCCAAATTAAGCCCCTTTACCAGGGAAGCTTATTTTAACGAACGGACCCTTTGTGAAAAAGTCTTTCTTATAAAGGCAGGGAAACCGTTTGCAAAACTCTTATACCTGCATTGGTAGTGTATGATAAGAATGCCACAGAAAGATCGTTGGCTGGCGTTGCTGCATCGCCTTATCTGCCGGTGTGTCCTTTCACATGATCGATCTGCATTGCAAATATTACAGAAACAACACCAACCCCCAAGAAACCCGAACCTTTATCGAGAGTTTGAATGATTGTACATAGATCATTTCAATAGGGTATAAAATTGAAAATCTTGGGATTCTACATCCAGAGCAACATGGGAAGCCGTGAAATAAAAATAAATCTAACTTATTTTCACTATTCGGAAATACTTGCCAATGTCAAGAAGTGGCGGCAGGGATCATAGTAAATGTTATTGGGCGCCACCTTACGGCCTCAGGTATGAACACCTGGGTATGCTCTATCTTCTGAAATCAGGCGAGTCCTAGGCATCAGGCGCAGAACTTGGTATTTGAAAACAATTGGTCGAGTAAGATCGTTTGCGACTACTTCCAAGGTTACTGCTACATCTCTTGTCCATGAACGCTTCATTTGTGAAGATACCGAAGAGAAAGTCGGACTACCGAAGCAATGCAAATAATGATGATCTACCATACCAAAGCCTAGTAAATTAATTATCGTCCGTTCTAGACCAAATTGGCGGCATATCGGGGTTTCCGGGGTCTCTTATTGCAGTCAGCTGCATGGGGCCGTTGCTGACATGCAGCATGTTCCTCATTAATATGCACGGTCGATAAATAGTTAGTGGCTTACCAACACATCGCGAATTGGACCAGGTTTGAGCAAATTGTAAGATAAATACAACAATCACAAATTTATGAGCTTCATTTGCTTATAAAGCCGTTTCTTATGTTCGATCAACTTCCCTATCGGCTTACTAGAAGTTCGGGCTCTCTACTATGTAGTTTGCGACTGTGTAGCATTTTGGATATTTAGAAGACAAAAGGCTGTGGCGCTCGTATTCGGAGGTGCCAAACTTGGGGTAAATGCCGAAATTCTGCCTCAGCTGAACTTCATAAGCCGAAAATTGGGAACTAGAACTCTATATTTGGCTTAGATTATTCACAAGTTGGCCATGGCCTTTTCCTGAACTCCCTGTTCATGTGCCAAGATGAAGAGGCTTGCAGGAACCCATGCTGTCTGGGCACGTTGTTCCTGATCCTGACCCATATCAACCCCAGATGGATGGCTTGTGCATAATAACAACCTATCATATTGCTTGATTTTGCATCGTAATTTAATTCAGGATTAGGGCAGTGTCAGTACTGCAGCATGGGAGTGCATCGACCAAGATTTTTGAGGCTCTGGCTTGCTAATTTGGGCGAAGACGCCGAGGCATTGACTCGATCACCAATCGAGACGGTGGCATCTGCCGCATCGCATATGGTGGAGGCGCGATTCATGCCACCTGGGCAGTGTGTGACTTTTGTGTGATGTTCCGAACGATATAAATGCCATCGTATTCCCACCTGGGCACCCAAGTCACAGCTTTTCTGTTGAACTCTGTTTCAATTCATCATAAAATCCAACCAATCATCAAGCAAATCTTCTCGAATTAAGTTCACTTCATTTCCATCCTGTTCAAGTTCCTCTCACCATGCCGCAAGTCAATCGCAAGCCAATCGTCACTACTAAGGGAAGAGGCCCGCAACATCCTGCCCCTGCCCATCTACACCCAGGCCAACCACGCGCAGCGCCACAAATGCAATATCGACCGCAACACCAGCAGCACCACAACGGGTCTAACCCACGACTGGCTCAGCTTCAGCACCAGCAGAACGTTCAGCATGGTCAGATCGCTCATAACAAAGCCCAGATAAATCAGCACTCGGCTGCATTGCAACACCAGGCGGTGGCACAACAGCGACACAATGCCGCGCAGCAAAAACACTTTGCGCAGCAGAATGCAGCAACTCAAAAACATATGGCCCAGCAAAATGCGGCAACTCAGAAACAAATGGCGAAGCAAAACGCAGCAACGCAGAAGCAAATGGCCCAGCAAAATGCAGCTATGAAAAAACAGAACCAGCACATGAACCATGAACTTCAAGCTATGAAGCACCAGCAGCAAAAAGGCGTTGGTCATGGCGGCAGTGGTCATGGTGGTGCTGGGAAGAAAGTGTTGGCTGGTGCTGCAGTTGGTGCAGCAGCTGGTGTCGGTGGTACCATGCTTTATGAGGGATATCGTGAAGAGACGTATGTTCATGAGCAGACTATCATAAGCGAAGATCAGAGATCTCCGGATCAAGATATCAATGACTGGGATCGCAATGACTACGACCGCAACGACGGGAATGATGTCTACGATCGAGACGTGAATGATAACGATTATTATCCTAACGACTATTATCCTAATGACAACGACCAATACTTGCCGCAGCAGAATGATAATCAAGGTGGATATTACAACCAACAGGATACAATGGACACTCGTGGACCAGTCCAAAGTGGTGGGGATAATGGAAATGATAGCGACTGTTGTGGCAGTTGTTGTGAATGTGGTGACTGTTGTGGGGGTTGCTGTGGATCAAATGACAAGGATGATGATAGCAGCTGTTGTTGTTGCTAAGTGCAATTGTATACCTATGCATTTGGAAGCTTTTATGTGGCGCGAGAGACTCCTTACAACAAACCAGTTTGATAATGATAATTATCACTAATTTGTTCTTGAACCTTGGAATTGATGAAGGATACGACCTGCTTAGATAAACATGGGTGTTCACCTGTGAGGCCAATCAACCTGGGAAGCAGGGGGTGCTTCGGGAGCTTATCTCTAGGGTTTCCTACCACGAGATGCCCTTTCTAGTCCAGCAAGGAGTGTACGACGATTTGCACTGGCAGTAGTATATACCTAGGTGACCTCAAACTCCAATTCATTTTCAAATATATATAGAGTACTAGTAGTACTAGTAAATGAGTTGAAGCCTTGAAACTGTACAGGCTAGGTAAAAGTACCTACATTGCTTGCATCACGTGTCGTCCTTCTGCAGCTTACTAGTATAACTAACTATAGATGGCCGTCTACCAATGTTACGCTATCGCTATCGCTATCGCTATATGTACATATATTATCTCTCGTCATTCAAGCTGCCGTTCTTCCTATTACGTACAGCCCGTACCTAGGTATATCATTGTAACAAAGAATCAGCGGTGTGCAGTGTAGTTCTTTGTTAGGGATACACAACGCCATGTGGCACCCATTTGGAGTATTCGGTCATCGAACATATGACCCTGGACTCTTCCCCAGGAAAAGAGCCAGAGTAAGTTCAGCATGAACCTAGGATAAAGCATGAGCATACCGCAAGTGTAACTGCACCCTATAAGTGGACTCTCCGAGGGCTGGTGAATATGACTGGACAGCCCCGTGACCCACCGTGCCCTACCAGGTGACCCGCACCTTACGTCAACGGCAGGTGCAACCGGGGAACAACCTCTAACTGCCAGTCGAGTCGAGAGAGCCGCTTGTCATCGCTTGCCCTCGGTACGTTTGACAAAGAGAAACACCTTCCGTTCCGCTTGTCACCGTATAGAGCAGGTCACTCCAGTCCGGATCATGATGTACATGGAACCATTGGAGCGGGGGAAATGAGGGGGATGGGGCGAGCATTATCCATCCTGGTGTGACGCCGTCCCGCGAGTCCGAAGCCTTAGAGTCTTATATATCTGGTCAGCAACGCCGATAAGCGGAATCCACTTCTTTAACTCGCTCGAACCCCGGATTATTTCTTCTTCTTCTTCCTCTTTTGATCCTAGATTCCGTTCTTTGTTCGAGACACCTGGACAACCTACTCCCTTTCCATAGAACATCTCAGATCTCGTCCTTCTTACACCTATTACTAGCTCTCAGCAACGAGGTAGAAAAGAACTCGAAGTCTTGATACGCTGCTTCACGCGTGTCACTTCGTTTCAAGGTTACCATTCTCCACCAGCAATTTGTGGGGAAAAAGTCTCTTCTGTCGAAACTTCCAAGGTTGAATACCTAGGTATCTTATCACGACACGTTGCATAGCTTCGTTTCCACCATCATGATTGCTGCAGACATTCAATCTCTCCCGATGGGAGACTCGCCCGATCTGATCATAGTCCCCGCCACACCAGAAGAGCGGATCAAATCCATCAAGCTCAATAGCGTGGCCTGGAAGGGGCCTCTAGACATGGAAGCATACATTGCTCGAGAGGACCATCTGCGCAACCAGCGATTGAATCGGGAAAACCTCACCTGCTGGATTCTCGTTGACCGCACCGAACCAGAGGGCGAGCGAACAATCCTCAGCTCCTGCGAAACCTACCGGAAAAAGGCGCTCCTAGCCCACAACGGCACAGTCGAAAATGTCAAGACCCACGGGATCGGGAGCGTCTACTGTCGGCCCGAATTCCGGGGCAAGGGCTACGCGAAGCGGATGATGGAGGAATTGGGCCGGAAAGTGGAAACCTGGCAGATGGAAAAGGAGTCTCGCGGACGGTCTTTGTTCACTATTCTTTTCTCGGATATCGGGAAGAAGTTCTACGCTCAGTTTGGATGGCGGCCCTTTTTGTCTTCGCACATGGCTCTGCCACCAGTTGCGAGGGAGGTGCTTAACGGTAGCCTGGAAAACAGCAAGATCAGAGCCTTGCTCGCGAAGGATGTCCAGGACTGCGTCTGTGATGATGCCACCCTCGCAAAGTTGCAGGAGCGCATGCAGGTTGCTTCCCAATCACCTGGAGCGACGGTTGCCATTATCCCGGACTTTGATCACTTCGTGTGGCACTGGGCTCGCGAGGAGTTCTTCGCAGAGAAATTGTTTCCGGATCGCTCCCCTCCAGTGATCAAGGGTGCTGGTGATGACCAGGCCCGTGTGTATTGCGTATGGAACCGCAACTTTGGCGATACCCCTGAGGATAATGTCCTGTACATCTTGCGTTGGGTGTATGATGATCCTACGTCACCAGAGGAGGAGCAGTCATTGATTGAAGCGATGGCCACTATCTTGCGACGGGCTCAACTCGAAGCCCATGAGTGGAACATGAGCAAGGTCGAATTTTGGAACCCGTCGCCCCTAATTGAGAAAGCAGTGGCCCTTCTCGACCCCAAGGCTGAAGTGGTGCACCGTGAGGAGAGCAGCATTTCCTCTCTGCGATGGACAGGTGCCGAGCAAGGTTTAGGTAAGGACGTGCAGTGGTTGTTGAACGAGAAGTTCACTTGGTGCTGATCGACCACCTTCAATAATTTCGGGATATTTTCTTTGTTCTGCCTTCTTTCTTTTTATTTGTGTTTTCATTCATCATACTCCCCAGGTGCGGAACCTGGGTTGATTTGGGCGGCAAACATGACCATGATGTTTTTTAGACACGACGAGCATCATATCATAGACCGGCGGCTGCTCGGCAATTACGCTGCTTCGACAGTGTGCAGTCAGCGCTTTGAATTTTTTAATAGCTCATGCCAATTCCTGGTTGTTTTGGCTTTGGTTTTCGCAGCTGCAGCTCCAGCAGCTGGGGCTTTGCTAATATGCTTCCGCTGAGATGCGTCAACGAAGAACATCGTCGTAGGATCGGGGCTCTGGTATGAGCCCTCTGGCAGCTTCGAGAGGATTGCATTGCCCCTCCACGATTCTGGTAGGCAATCCTTCCATAGTTGTAGAAATTCGCTCCGTCCAACGGCAGAAGAGGCAGTAGGAGCCGTGGCAGCGAGACAGATTTCCCCAACCCACCGAGTGCACTCTTCCTTGTCAAAGCATGCCCCTGGTTCAGAAGAAAAAGTTAGCTTAGTTCACAATAATAATAAAAAAACTAATTCCGGAGCAACCTCCACCTCACATTTAATATCATCCGAGAGAGCCGGTCGCTGATCCTCAGCACAAAGCCTGCGCACCAAAGCTTCAAGCAAAGCCCGTGGGAAAGGCGGCGCCGAAGCATCGTCATCAAGAACAGACTTCCACAGATCACCCACAAGGAATTGCTTCTCCAAATCAATACCCTGCAATAGCGCACCCTCCACAAGACGTTTCCACACACTCAAGCGCATCCGCGCCGAAGGTCTCCAACACGAGATCTCCTGGTTGCCATCAACAAACGCACAAAGCTCTAACCAACCCGTTTCACATTGTGCTGCGGAAACAGGAATGTCCTCACAGACCTTTCCTCTCGCTTCTCGCGTCTGGGTCGCGCTTAGCCCGTCATATAGGCCCGACTCGTCCATGGCCATATCGCCGTCATCGTCACCGCTCCGGGGGTCATATAGTCGAAGACTCTTTTCAAGGAAGGGGACGGCCGAGAATCCTCCATCGGGGATGTGTAGTTCCAGTGTTGACCCGCACTTCGCGATGGTAGTTACCGACTCATCGGGGAGATTGAGGGCACCGGTGTCTCCAGCTTCTTCCTCGACGACCTTGATGGCATCTCGGGAGATATGGCCCAGACTCGGTTGGAGAATATGGATGTTGTTCGACGACATAACTTGACGGATTCGGTAGGTCTTGGTCGGGGTGCAGAGGTTGACGTATTCCTGCGCGATGGGGTCCCTTACTGCCTGTGCGAGGGCAGATGAGGGGGATTTGAGCTCGATTCTAGATTCAACAAAATCCCATCAGTCAATTCCTTTTTCCGGAAGAGGAGATAAGGCCAGTCTTGAGCCGGAAGGTGGCGTACGTGGGTGCATCTTTTGATGTCAATAGTTCTTCCAAGTCAGGTGGAAGTTCGAGCAATCGGAAAGCCTGTTGGGGCTGAGTGTGCGTGAATAGGATGCTTCGCGAAGTCTGGGTCGACATCTTTGCAAGCGACCTTGCTGTGGTTGAACGATGTGGAGGAGTGGAAGAGGAGACGCGCGAAAATGGCGGGACGCGGTGGACGCGCCCAGCACAGACCACCGTTTAATAGACAGCGTCAATGGGATGACAGTGCGCGAGTAATCATATGATATTTTTGTGCTGTAGACTATAGGATTGAGGAATTGGAAGTATGATACTTCTTGGATGATCCGAAGTTCAAAAGAGAATAAACTTGCACCATGTTTGCTCGTGCTCCTGTCGCGCCGTCTAGCATGCTATCTAATAAATGATGACAGAGAGACCACCCAATGACGACGAAAATATACATCAAAGAAGAAAGTCAAAGGCAAAGAAATGAGATATCGCTCCTGTGCTCGGAAAATAAATTGTTTGCAGCAAATTTCGGTCCACTTGGACAAGGGAGAAGACCAGCGTGTTGTCCAGCGGATCGAGGCGAGGCCGCGCAGTTGAATCCAGCCAGCTGGTATGGGTGGAGAGGCACCTTCAAGGTGTACCATTGAAATGAGAACATAGATAGGTTCGTTGAGATCAGCGTGGTCACAGTTTCGCTTGCTTGGAGCTGCCCTTCTCGGCATCCTTTGCTGGCGAAGCAGCAGAACCTTCGCTGGAGCCCTTGCCGGCATCAGGCTTTCCAGCGCCATTCTGGGATTTTGACTTGCTCCCTTGTTTCTTCTCGGCAAGTTCGCGCTCTCGCTCTTTCTGCTCCTGCTCGAGTCGCTCTTGTTCCATTTCCTCCATGTGACGGAGATCGTCCACGCTAGGTTCGTATAAGTGCCAGATTGTGTAATGGGGCAGCCCGACGACGGAGAACTTCATGCGTTTGGCCATCTGAAGTACGTCAGTCATTGTAAATAGATAAAGTGTTATGACTATGATGTTTTCTTACCTTGCCAAAGCCTTCCGTCTCCGCATGCTTCTCAAAGCTAAATGCAGGGAAGTGAACGCCTGCGCGGAAAACGCGGGCCTTTGCTAGGATGCTGACACCTCCAATGCCATCCAGCTCCATTTCCATATCTGGGTCGCCGTATGGGTCACGCAGGTAGGCAAGGTGGGGTCGCCATGTCGCATACTCGGCGTATCCCTCCACAATCACCGCGTCTTCGTCGAGCGTGTCTGCCAATGCCAGAGCGGTCTCCGATTCTTGCCATGAGTTCAGGTCGTATGGTTGCTCCCCTCCCAGCCAGTCAGGAAGTGGTCGCCAAACATCTAGGAACCAGTGGTCAGTGGCCAGAAAACACGCAAATCACCCTCAGAGGCTGAAACTTACTCGGAACCGTGACATCCTTATTATGGCGCATGAGATCTTCGATGATGGTGAAGGGCGCTGTCTCCACATCTGCATCTCGCCAGTAGACCCAACTGTGGGTAGGACGGAGCGTCGCACTGAGCAGCCAATTTCTGGCCTGGGCCATCAATTTTCGCCGACTAGCCTGGGCCTCGAAGCCATGACGGCTTTCGACATCCTGTTGCACTTTCTGCCCAAAGTCCTTCTGAATTACGGAGATCTCTCCGTAGCTCATCTTGGGGTCCGGGTCGTTTTGAATCTCTGTGAGCATACTCGAGAGCATTTGGAGGGTATCATCGCGCGAATCGGAGACCAGGAAAGCGAGGTCGATTAGGTTGTGAGGGTAGGTGAGGTTGCGGAGGTGCGAGAAGAACATTGGGAGATGCGAGGAAGCATCCCGCAGAGGGGTCAACATGAGGACACGCTCCCCGCGTTCCCAGCCCTTTTCGGTGCCTTGCACTTCGGAGAGATCATAATATCGAACGGTTTGGAGCTGAAGGTCTTCGGAGGAATGCAGGAGGCCCAATGATAAGGTAGGGAGGATGAAGGCGCGCCATGAGGGAAAAATGAAGATTGTCACTAGGAAGGAGACTGCGGCGAGAAGGCATAGTCGTTGGAGGAGCTGCCTTCTGCGTCGGAGGGCGGGTTGTGAGCGTGGCTGGAATCTAAATCATGGAAATTGGTCGTCAGCATGGAGATCTATCATTGTCATATGCAGCAGGCTTAGGTGGGAAATTTGTGGGTGGATCGCGCAATGTCAACAACGAGACCACTGGCCACGGTCATCGCGATGCGATGCGATGCGATGACCTGGAATTGGACATACTGGTTGGGAGATATAGAAAAGGCCGATCCACGAGGGTAGGCGGAATGGCCTTTGGAAAAGGCGTGAGGCCTATTCATGGTTCACAAGGATTCTCACTGCATTGGCGTGGGTGTTGGCGCTGGGGCGGGAAGTAGACGGGGCCAGGGTGGCAGACCCCCGGTCTATCTCGAACACCGAGTGTAGGGGGATGGGGAGATTAAAGTGATGTGGCAAGGAGATTTCCTTTCAAATGAAGAACAAACAAAAGGACAATGTCATTCAAATCCAGCTGAGAAGACCAGGGTGTCAAAATGAGTAAGAGTGGTGAAGTGAGGAAGACAACAAGAAGAGCGTGCGTCACTCTGAATCCGGCCGGCCGGTTGCAGCCACCGATGTAGATTCCTCTGCACTTTGCACTCCTGCACACTTCGTATAATGGATGTGCTTACAAAGTATGGAGTACCTAGGTAAGGACATCGTTATCTTCAATTAGATTGCATTGGGCTCGAACTTGCTTTTGGTGAAACTACCCCTTCCAAGGTTTATACTAACTAACTATCTACAGATGGAGGCGTTGCTGATCTTCTCTCTAGCGCGCCTCTTCCGACTCGTTCTCCAGTCCTGTCACTGCATTTTGAAGTGTATTCATCGACGATGGCGATCCCTTTTCTTTGCCTCCCTCAGCCTCTCGCATCACTTGCACTAATCGTCCCGCCATCTGTGGTCCATTGCGCAACGTTGACATGACGGATGCGGCCTCATACTCACTGTCCAGGATATAGTACCGTTCCCTCTCATTATTCTCCACCGTGTCCCGTTGGAATGCGACCTTGGCGATCACCTTGGCTGGAACACTGGCCTTGTTGATCGAACTACGGGAAACCATGCGCAAGAAGGGCCGGAGTCCGGTTCGTGTTTGATGTGCGACTCTGACCGACAGGGGCGCCCCAGTTCGAAGATGACTCCCGCCCGCAATGCCCCCTGGGTCAAGGGTGAAGATGTCCAGCGGGATATTTCCTGTCTAAAAATCCCAAGTACAACGTTAGCGGTCTTGTACGATTCGGTCTCGGGAGGGCGGGGCTGCGCCGTTGCGATCGGTCAGACTTACACAGGCCAGGCTTCGACGTAATGCATACAAGACAACACTCGCGATCAACTTGCTGCTACCGAATCGAATATTGCCTTCCTTGGCGCTCAGCGGAGTTCCAGGAGGACGACTGTCTCGGCCTTGATTGTGGTCGAAGTAGTCGAGTCTGCCGTAAGACGCCGAGGAGCATCCGACGTACATCACTTTGGCTCCACCGTCCACCGTTCCATCGTCAGCCCGGAAAGCTTCAAGGAGACCGACGGTCAGAAGAAATGGAGCGAGGCAGTTGATCTGGTATACTGGATCAAACCCGTCCAAGGTGAGCTCATCAACAACGTAGGACGCAATGGCGGCGGAGTGAATCAGATCGACAATAGGAGGAAGCTCTCTCCTGTGTACCCGATCCACCGTTTGACCGGCAAATTTAGTGACTTCTCGAAGATCAGTTAGATCGAGAGGAAGTACCTCGATGGATCGTGGCCCGATGAGGCGAATTCGTGTGGTGAGAGCATGGACATCGTCGGCTTTGGGATCTCGTGCTGTCAATAAGAGGTGTACAAAAGGTCGTGTTTTGGCAATGGCCACAGCGATCTCTGATCCTAACTGTCCATTGCCACCCGTGATAATAACGGTCCCTGTCAGTGCTCTTCCCATGTCACTGTCGATATTTCGGTCTGCTAGAAGTGTACTCGTGTCCAGCGAAACAGGGCCGCCACAGATTGCATAGGAGAGCCTGCTCTTATGAAACGCTGGAATGATGCGATTGAGGGGAATTTTGAGCCAAGATCAAAGAGCATTGAAAACAAAAACAGATGCAAACTGAAAAAGGGCCCGCCAATGCGCTACGACCCAGACAGGGCTATATACGCCATTGAGGGAACCGAATTGTAGATCTACTGCGTGTCCCGGACCAATGGCCTCAATGGTCCATCGGCGGTCTCAGAACCGGCGTGTCTCAGGCTCATACGGCTGAGTCCGTGTCTTCTGGAAGAAGAGACAGTGGATCAATCAGATGCGGCCACAGGCGGACATGCCTTAGTGCCGCGTAGCTAGCGGAGTGGCCGGCCGCAGGGAAGAGAGAAAAGAAAATATTTTACCGACCCCATCTGCGCCCCCAACAGAGACAAAAATAAACCCTGTCAACCTGATGAGGTAGCAACCGTGAATGATGACATGTTTCAGGCCTTTGGTGGACAACATCACTGACTTGGTATAATCCTCGTATGTTGACAGACTGTCATCGGCAAGCAGATGATCAACCACGATTGGGTTCGCAGTTCACGATTGATCCGTGTGGGCCAACCGTGGAGCGCCGTGGAGCGTCGTGGACTTGCCGATCGTTCGCGAGCACCCTGGACGATCTCATCGTGGCTTGACAGCTCAGCAGCCGAGATCGAATTGTTGTCAGCAGTGCCCAGCACAGAACCCCCACCCCGACCGGGGTTTCCCTTTCATCCACGCATATCTTAGTCATATCCTGGGGGCAATTACTGGATCCAAAGAGTTGGCCCAACAAGCCAATACGAATAATGAAACGGCTAGAATCAAAAATAGTGGATCGAGATGCCGAGGGCCATACCCGTGGGGTACAATAAGGTACATTAAGGCGATCCATGGTTCCAATAGCGGAAGATGCTAGGATGATTTGACCACCGAGTTCAGCCACACAGCAAAGGGCGGAGTACCAGGAACATTCAAACAAAGAAAGAGAGAAAAGAAGCAACGAATAACCATTATTATCCTGCTGTCAACCTACGCCCCTCCCGTCAGTCTCAGCACCGGGGCTCGGCTCGGCCCCCGAAGGTACCATATATCTGAAATTGATTCCAGGTCTAGCGTGGAAACCCAGACACGAGGTGCCCACGCTAACACCTAAGTTGGAGGAAATGGGACATCCAATTAATATGGTGTGACAACACGGTCACTCTTGGAACTCCAGATGCCCAATAGAAACATCCACTAAGATCTTAACATGTTGATCGCGGTGATTGATTAACGCCCTGAACCCCTTCTCTGCCACTTCAGCCATCCCGATCTTGCTGGTGATCATCGGTCGCGGCTTAATCTTGCCTAAAATCCAAAAAAAGTAACAAGTTAAACCATAGACACGCAAAAGACTTGTCATTTTCGGAACAAGGCTTTCCTTGGAAGTACCCCACGGATGGCAAAGGGTCCGACTTACCAGATGTTATTGCTTCAATCACAGCTTCAAAATCTCCCTCATCATATACCGCCGCACCTGTTACATGTTTTTCTCCGAGTACTACATCGATAAACGCATTAATGATCGGCTTTTCGTCCCACATTGACACGATCACCGCCGTTCCACGGGCCCGAAGACCCGCCATGACTGTATCCAGTCCAGCTTGCACCCCGGATGTTTCAAAAGAAACCGAAACACCCTGTTGCTGCCTGGTAATCTCACGGACTCGAGCAACGGCATCTACTTCCCGGGGATTGAGGACATGAGATGCACCAAAGCTCTGGGCAAACTTTCGACGCTGCTCAGAGATCTCGACCACGATGACGGTCTCAACTCCTCGAGCTTTCAACACCTGCACGATCGCTAGTCCGATGGGACCAGCTCCAACAACTAGAGCCGTGTCTCCAGCTTTGAGGGGGCTGCGACCCACTGCATGCCATGCGACGGCGAGAGGCTCCACCAAGGCTGTTGGCGTCAGCGAGGACCAAGTTCCATCATACGACCCCCATCTGACATACATACCTCCAATATCTAGAGGCATCGAATCCGGAAGCTTAATCGCGTGATTTTCATCGATGACAGCATGGTCGGACATGCCACCAGCCTCGCCTGTAGTTGGTCAGATCTATAATGCATCCGGGAGTTTCTCGACATACTGCTATATCCAATAAATCCCAGGCTGCTGCAAATGTTCTGCCTCCCCATAGCGCACCGCGAGCATGAGCCATCAGAGAGGTTTGGCTTAATGGCTACCTTGTCTCCAACTTTCAGGCTAACCACGCCCTCTCCGATCTCCTCTACTGTCCCACTGAACTCATGCCCCAACGTTGTCGGGAGTTTGGCCCCCGTGATCGGATGTGGGTTGACAGGAACTGCCGAGGGACCGGTGAGATACTCATGGAGATCTATTTTAATGAGAATTTGAAATAAAGGAAGGGCTACTTGATGATTTACCGCTACCACATATTCCCACAAAAGCAGGTCTGATCTTTGCAAAGCGTTAGCAGCAGCCGACCGAGTTGATATAGCTCATATCACGACCTGAAGTTCATGATGAATGATATCTGGATTACCTTAACCTGGCCCTTTCCACAACTAGGCTCACTGACCTCATCCAAGCGGAGATCCTCCCTGCCGTGGAAACGAAGAGCTCGCATCACGGCCGACACCTACCGGGTAGAATGATTGACTGGGGTATGTCTTCGGCTAACGCCACAGAAGGAGAATATAAATCGTCAAATGAATTTCAAGGGTCACCCCGCTTCTCGTCCACAAATATCTCTCGGAGATTTTATTTTAAATCCACCTGCATGCGATCCAAGTTGGTATTTAAATCGCCTCCTCACGGCTGTCCCTTATCCGCGGCCGGGTAGAACAACCCCTCTTCCCCGCGACCCCACGGGGTACCACTGATCCACCGCGGAAGTTGACGAATACCCGTAGTCTTTTTGACTTGACGAGGGTCGGAATTGACAGCCACTGCGGAACAATACTGTGCCTTTTCTGACTAATTTTTGACTAATTATGTGCAAGACGCCTGTTCCACGTGATATCTATGCAATGAATTGTGTCACGGGAGTACGGAGAATGCATTTTCTTCTATTCCGCACTCGCTCTACACTATATGGGGCAGTATTTGAGTTATATTAGAAATAAAACATCCACACTTGAAGCATATGTGTTTAAATATCGCATCTAATCTTCAATCCATTTCCGGCACTCTTAAGTGAAATCACGTGGTGGGGCAGGTGAGCAGATAACCAGAAGTTCACCCGGGGCGTACTTGAGCGAGAATCATAATGTGAAAGGAGGAGATATTAGATCAGAAGATTCCAAGGTTGATGCGCTTTTCATTATAGATTATTTGATGGCGGAGGCTGAGAATCCGAGTCAACTAGGTGGCTAGCCGTTGCCCACATAATTACCATATATATAACCAATCATCCCGCACCTCATTTAGACCAACTTAATGGGTCTTCAGGTACCCGAACCAACTTGTCTTCTCTTTATCTAAAGATAAAATTACAAAGACAATCATGACAAAAAAAAAAGGTTCATGTTCCTGGATCCTTCTCGTGACCTCGTCATTGATCGACGGAAGCAGTAGTGCCGATCCAGGAATGTAACCAAAGACTCGGCTTGGAATGCGACCTCGTGGAAGGCATGGCCTGGAACTTGGAAGTGGCGATCAGCATATAGACCGCTTTTATTAGAGAGCAAAGAAAGAGAATTCGCAGTGTTCGTTAGACGAGGTATTTGTGGAAGATATTGTTGATAGAGAGGAAATAGAGCTGGGATGATGAGTTCAAGTATACAATTGACAATAAACTTCAACTTGAAGTTATGTATACCATCGGACCGCTTTAAATCGCTACCTACTATCTGAATAGACAGTCCATGGGTCGGGATATCTATCTATGGTACCCATCTCGCTATTCCTTGGTCTGGACCCAGAGTACGTTTCGTAGGACCTCCTCCGAGCTTTCTCAGCAAGAAGTTGCCGGGATTGGGCTTAATTCATCCGGAAAGAAGCCATTGAGGATCCATCTTGTCTTCAAACGAATGTAACACTCAGCCTTGGAAGCTGTACTAGTACTTTGTTCATACCCTTATATGCCCATCAGTTCCAACCGTCTGAACTTTATTTTTCGATACTCGATCTCCAATTCGCCTGGGCGCATGATTGAAGTGATTTTAAACATGCAATTACTCGCTCACTTATACCTCCTCATTGTCTCGGCTGCTCTCATAGCAGCCCAAGACCCGACACCCGTCGCGACGCCAGAGGAGGGTGGATGTGCATCCCAGCAGTAAGTTCGAAATTACCGATCAATTGCGGGCGAATATTTCGCTAATGAAAGAAGAATCGTGGATCAATGCGTTCTGACGATGAGAAATGCACTGGCAAAATGCCAAAATGACAACTGGGATTGCAAATGCAGCGCCCAAGCGAACATCGCCAAGTGAGTCCTTCATGACCCCGAACGCCTTTGACCGAGATTGTTTTTCGTCATTCTTCAAGCGATTAGCTAACGTTAATAATCTGAGTAGCTGCTACGTTGATTGCCTCAACAACAAGGATAGTTTCTCGGCTCAATTATCCAGCGCGGAGATATGCGCCACTGCCAACGCATACGACGCCGGACTAACAAACGTCCCCGCTACTTGGACCACACCCGGCCCTGCAGCGGCGACCCCGGCACAGATCAGTGATATTGACGACGACGAATTCGATACCAAGAAGTCGGCATCTTCTAGCGAGCCTACAAAGTCATTGACGGAAGAAAAGAGTGCGACGACGTCGGAGGGGGCTGCCGCTGGTAAAGCTGCTGGAAGCTGGTTGGCTCTCGTAGGGTTGGGAATCGGAATGGTCTTTTGAGGATGATTTTGCATTTGAACAGAGATGTGTCAGGACTATTGATCAGATTTAATCTATTCAGTGAAAATACAAGGACTGAAGTTAATAAAAGACTTCCTGAATATGGCGAGAAATAGTGGTAGAAGCTTCGGAGCATAGTAGTACTACAAGAGGAGAAATAATTGAGAGGTATATGATTGAATTGATTGAAGAACTTCTAAGAGACCAGCTCGAAAAAAAATAAAAAATAACGTTACTTGCTTTTGCGGGTTAACAGCCCCTTCAGAGCCTCCGTTTCGCCCTCCATCTTTGAGACCCGTAGTCTCAACTCATCGCGCTCTCTTTTCACACTTTCCAACTCGTCTTCCAGGGTTTTCATTCGGTCGGCACGCCTCTGACGACATCGGCGAGCCGCGAGCGTGTTGAGTCTGCGCTTTTCGACGCGAGCTGAACCAACACGGCCCAGGACTTCATCACCCTGCGAGGTTGGAGGGCTTGATGTCGACGCGGATCCTGGAATCTGAGATACAGGGGAATGCTGAGATTGCCCGTCTGCATGGAGTGTTAGGAATAGAATCCGTTTGCCAATAAATGCGATATAGTCTTACCTAAGGAATTTGGTGGGCTGGGAACGAGAGGAGAAGGGGCGAAACTTTGGGGGTCATTGGAAGCTGAATCCGAAATAGAAGCAAAGGTTGGGGTCATGCCATATCCCAAGTCATTGACAGCTACGTCAATGTCAGGATAGGGCACTGAATGATCGGCGGAAACTATGTCCCAGTCGGTATTGGCAAAGGACAGGTGCGGTTGTGTCCAAAGATCCGACTCTTGTGCAAAGGTAGTGGTATCGAAGGGTTGAGAGAATGGCGCAGTCGTGGGGATAGACGGCGGCACCGAGGAGAGCGAATAGAAGTGTTGTTGCTGAAGGTAGGGGGAAGAATTAGGCCTCGGCAGAGAGTCCGACTCCTGGAGGCTTGAGAAGGGACTGTGATTGAGAGGGCTGCCAGAAGATGGCCATCGCCTGGAAAACGGCTGCGGTGCTGGTGCAAGTGCAGGCCGCCATGATGAGATCGTATCAACGGGCCTAAGCGGGCCCGGGGCGCTGGATTCTTTAAAGGAGGATGAGAGGTGAATAACCTCTTCGGAAGCTGGACTCGGTCACGAATGGCCGATGAAGAGTGTCCTGAGGAAGAAATGAAGGGCGGCGATTGCGAGCGAGATATAAGCTGGGGGCGTGGATCGACGGTTCAGGCCGCCTCAGGCCGCTCAGTCTGGCTGGGCACTGCCCCCGCCGTTCCACTCGGTGATTGGCTGATACCGACACGACTCATTGTGACTCATTTTAGTGCGTGCATTCTAGATTTGGGTGGCCAATCACAGCCCTTCCAGTCGAGGTATTCACAGTGTGCATAGCGTCGTAGGGTCGTAGTTGGATCTGAGACCACAGCTGCCTAGGTATTATTATGCGATTTTCAGGAGGAAAATGTAGATCACGATTTAAATTTACACACTAAGGAGTATCATCGAGGCCTGTATTTTGTGCAGATATCTTAATTATTAGCGTGAGTCTTCAAGTTCATGGCATTATCACAGATAACTATGTGTGGTTGTACTTAATAGGTGGTTACCTAGGTACCTAGAGCCTACCTATACATACCTTTTAGCATGTTGAGGCAGTGCAATTGCTATTCAAGCTGATGCAATTCCTTGCGATCTACCTAGGTATCCAAATAACTAGCAGATGATATACTAGTAGTATTTACTCAGCATAGTAGCGCTAGTATAATTAAGGTTCTTCTCTCTTAGTATAAAACGGTTTCTTTTTCGTTCTCCTTTTGTTCTTCAAAACCCTTGGGTACAAAGTACAGATTAATGCTGACTGATGAATCTAACTAATTTTTATCTTGCATATCACCTATAAAACTATATTCTGTGGTCTTTTAAGGCTCTCGTAGGTATCAGATGCCCAAACCCACTCCTAGTAATACAAATTACAATAGCAAAACTAGTTCTATTGCTCTTGTCAGATACATGTAAAATGAACTGAAGCTATCTAGTTAAGGCACTATCATTGAGAATCTCATTTTCCCAGTTCCAGATGTCAAAATTTTCTAGTATACTTGAAGTAGAACTAGTTATATGACAGCGCCACTACAAGCAAATTGACGCTGAGTCATCATGTGAAGCTCCGCGAGGAAATCCCAACAGGACAAGCGGCGGCGGCGGATACCAAGAACAATCTGGCTTTAATCAGACTTAAAAAACCGCCCAATTGCCCAGCAGATCCCCCGTGGGATCACCCATCAAGGTGTCGGTCTTTAGGTGTGTTGGCCTATTGCGGGCCCGAACCACAACCCCGCGGGTCCAATCGTTAACACAGTTCCGTGCCCCTCTTCGATTTTCTTTTCTTCCATCTCCTCCACGCGCATTCATCATGGCGACCGCCGCTGCCCCCGACTCTTCGCTCCTCTCTCTCCTCTACCGCTCGTACCCCAACGTCATCTCCCCCGATGCCACCGAGCCCGATTACCTCCACGCCACTCCCAAGATCTTCTCGCAGACCTCCTACACCAAACCCGAGGAGGCTGATGTCAAGCAATGGCTCAACACCGTCTCCGGCCTGAAGAATGCCATCGCCAAGGATGAGAAGCCCGTGCTGGAGAGCATTTTGGCTCAGCTGAACACCCACCTGGCCACCCGCACTACCCTGCTCGGCGCGAAGCCCTCGGTCGCCGATGTTGCCATCTACGCTCTGGTTGCCCCGCTGGTCGAGAAGTGGTCACCCGAGGAGCGCACCGGTGAGAAGGGATACCACCACGTCGTTCGTCACATCGACTTTGTCCAGAACTCCAAGGTTTTCTCTCTGCAGATCCCCGAGGAGGAGAAGGTTGTCATTGACGTGAACGACGTGCGTTTCGTGCCCAAGCCCATCGACCCCAAGGAGGAGAAGGAGCGCAAGAAGCGTGAGAAGGCCAATGCCCAAAACCCCGAGGCTGCTGCTGAGAAGCCTCTTGTCGTCGGCCAGGGCAAGCCCGGCAAGGACCAGAGCAAGGCTGCTGAGGCTGCCGCCGCCGGTCCCCCCCAAGACCAACAAGAAGGAAAAGAAGGAGAAGGCTCCCAAGGCCCCCAAGGCTGCTCCTGCCCCCGCTGCTCCCCCCTCGCCCTCCATTATCGACCTGCGTGTCGGCCACATTCTGCGCGCCATTAACCACCCCAATGCCGACTCCCTCTTTGTCTCCACTATCGACTGCGGTGACGCTCCCGGCTCCGACAACACCTCTCTGGATGAGGAGACCGGCAAGACCGTCCGTACTGTCTGCTCCGGTCTTAACGGTCTGATCCCCCTGGAGGAGATGCAAGGCCGCAAAATCGTTGCTGTCTGCAACCTGAAGCCCGTGACTATGCGTGGCATCAAGTCCGTAGCCATGGTTCTGGCTGCCTCTCCCCGTGTCCCCGAGGGTGGTGACGCCCACGCCGGCCCCGTCGAGCTTGTTAGCCCCCCCTGCTGATGCCCCCGCCGGTGAGCGTATCACCTTCCAGGGCTGGTCCGAGGGTGAGCCCGAGAAGCAGCTCAACCCCAAGAAGAAGGTCTGGGAGACCTTCCAGCCTGGATTCACCACCAACGGTGATCTTGAAGTCTGCTTCGACAGCAGCGCTGTCCCCGCCGTTGCCGGCCAGGAGGGCAAGCCCGCCATCGGAAAGTTGACGACTGCCTCTGGTGTTATCTGTACCGTCAAGTCCCTGAAGGACGCTACCGTGCGGTAAAAAGCTGCGGATATATCAAAATACCACCCCATTAGTGCATACCCACGAGAAGACGAAATAAAAATAGCGCTTTTCAATTCAATTATTTTGTTCAAGCATCGACGTCCATGTAAACACCAATTAATGATTGCCCCAGACATGGGTCGGAGAGGGAAGAAAATAAGGTATGATTATGCAAGGAAATGCTCATTGAAGATACTACTTCTATGGAAAATTTTGACAATATCCTACAGCCTGTCGGCGACTCTCTATCGGGCCATTATTATGAGGCTGAACTTATCTCCACCACCACCACGTTCTCTTTCTATTATCTCGGGGAGGCAAACCCAAGAGATGGACCGCGGTGGTCAAAGACAACGAACAGCGCCTTGAGGAAGACATCGCCGAAGATTTGGAGACTAGAGCCCGAGTTGGATTGCACACCACCGTAGCACACTGAAATGATAATTAGCCCAAGTCTCAAACAATAAAGAAAAGCCACGAGAACCTACCTTTGCCACCAGTGGTCTTATTTGTTCCGATCTCAGCGAAGTTGATCAACGATCCGGGAATGGTCGCTTGGAACTTATTGCCAATCGCAACAGACAGATTGGGAAGGTCGGCGTCGCAGGAAAAGATGTAACCGCTCACGCTGTTCGAATACTGAGCCCAACCGGCGTAGTATGCCTTGGCAACCTGAGGGCTAACGAGCATGAGAGAAGTACCGGTGTCTGCAATGGCAGTCGGGGTGTCGGTGATTGTCTGTAGAGATCCATCACCCACGGCAAACTGCGCGGCCTCAAATTGCCAGAACCCATTCGAGCTGTCGACGCTCACGTTCACAAGGGAGCCGGAGTACTTGTCCTGGTCGATTTTGCCGAATTCATACTCGCCGACGCCTTGGCTCTTCAGGCGGGCTGTGAAAACGGGCTCATCGAGGTCTGGAACGAGGTTATCGAAGAAGGTCTTTTGTGGGCCGGGGTCAAAGGTGTTGATCGAAGTGAAGCCGAGACCGACAAGACCGTTTGAATTCACGTCGGAAATGAATGAATCTGAAACCGAAGTGGGCAGACCGAATACTTGGTTCTTGACCGTTGCGCCGCCGATGGAGACCACGTCCTTGGCCAGACCACCCTGGGAATTGGAGGAATCGCCATATGAGATCTTGAAAGTACCGTCCACCTTTTTGTAAGTGCTTGACTTGCTGGGATCATACACTGTTCGGTTTGAGACCATGGACGCTGGAAGTTCCGTGTTTAGGACCCACCTATATCATACATGGTGATCAGTATGTTGTTTCGCAATGGTATGGAAGTACCCAATAATTGGACCGGAGAAGCTTACATATCAGAAGATCCGGTATCGAAGTCCATCACGACCGTCTGTCCACCAATCTGGACTGGCGATACGAATTCCACATCGCCTTGGACCGAGGTTGCGGACACAGAACCAGTCTGATCGGTCTCATCCGAGCTGTCGGTAAAGGAGGCGCTCTTGCTTGTGCGTGTCAGATCAGCAAAAGGCTCGAAGTCATCCAAGTCAAGACCACTGAAATCAGTTGAGACGATACCGAACTTGCGGTAAGCCTTGCGAAGAGCCGCCGGTCCATGAGCGACATAGTCACTTCGTCGAACACGCTCAACACGAAAAGACTTGCTTTTCTGTTGAGGATGGAGAGCAGCGGCCGGCGCTGCTAGAGCGTCATAGCTCAGCGAGAGGAAAAGTACCAGCGATATAATCAGATACATTCTGTCTGATCTCGCACGCACTCAAAATAAGTACTTTGAAGAAGCTGAATGACCCGGGCCAGCCAGGGAACTCGAAAAGCGAACGAGTGAGGAGGTAGTTAGAAAAGAGACGAAGAAATACAGGTCCAGCAAAACCTCCGGGGTCTTTTAGTGAATGGGAGTGAGTATTGGATTCTCGATGAAGTGAACGGGACGAATCAACAAAGCGCCAAAATGAGAGGCAAATTAGGCACAGCCTGGATTCGACAGGCCCGGAGGCTAGCGGGAAGTAGAAACGAAAGAGGAGAGAATTGAAGTAGAGGATTGATCAAAGAAAGATCGAAAAAAAGAGTGACCCCGGCACTATTGTATCAAGAAACGAAAAAGGAGAAAACGACCGCCTATCCTCAAACCCGGGGGGAGACTGCCGTAGATCTATAAAAAGGAGACAAAAAAAAAGAGAAAACAAAAGAAAAGAACTCCTCCGTACACCAGAAACGGACAACGCTTAGACCACCAGGTACATAGTGTTTGTTTTTTATTTTTATTTTATTTCGTCAGAGCTAGGTCCAGCTTCAGGTCCATTCAGCGATGGGAAGTGCAGGACAGCAAGTGAGTTGACGTAGAGTGGATCTGGGTAGACAAGGATAGTACGTTTCTGATCTTCCCGAATACACAAGACACGCAAGACACGTCCACCTAAATGCACCATTCACCAGCGACAACAGCAGGCTAAGCCCTTGGCTAGGGCGCCATGGCCGAGCTACCGAGCGAGCTGTCACAGAGATCCGCGTAAGGACAAACGTCCGCCTAGGGCAAAATCCAGTTTCTCGGCGGCTCATTTGTCTGCTACGGCGTGGCGTGCTAGGCCAGTGGAGTTCCTCCTGGGCGCGAGTTGTGACAGGTACGTAGTGTACCCCATCTCATCTGTATAGGCACTGGCTGTGCAGCTAATTGATCCTGAAACACAGCAGCGGGTATGTGGCCAATCATCGTGGTCTGTTCTGTCTTCCCCTTGAAACGGCGGGGCCGGACTACGCTGTGAGAGGTTACAGTGATACTTTACTTATGGCCTCTTGGCAGTTCGCCACCAAATTGTTTTCAAGGTACTCCGTACTGGGCAGCCATGTGAAGGCTCGGCATTGTACAGAGTAGAAAGAAATAGGTAAGATAAAAGGCTGGCGTTCGGGAGGGGGTTGCCTATTGTATCTGTTGTACACCGCTGCATTCACCTGAGGAACTACCCAACAGGGTTTAGAACAGGGTTTTCTGTTTCCGATCGGGAGGATCCGAGGCTCATCCTTCAATGCCTGAAGAAAAGGAACTTCAGAGGGGTAGGGGGACGGGGGTTGTTTTGTTTCCGATCAGGGGTCAAATGGTCTCAGGTCGGGAGGACCCTCCTTCTCAGAAGAAGAGTTGGGCTATGACTAAACCTCTTAGAGGTAAAGAGAGTGCCCACCGGGCTTTATTTGTTCTATTTTACGTATAAACCCTTTTCTAGGTCGGTTTCGCAGCACAGAGTCCAAACTCAAACGATATTTATTGCCCGAAATACTACCGGTCTACTTTGGCCGCGAGCATAAAATTGCCGAAATCCCGAATTCGACCACCCGGGCCAACTGCTATTTAAAATACTCCTCCACCACTTTCACTTGGACGTTATGGGTTCCTAGCTCTGTCTGTCCAATGAAATTGTCGCGAACCATCTGCACATTTCGCTCTGTAGTCTCATGCAGGACCATGTCAAATCGACGTACAAGATTGCCGATAGTATGATGCATCCACGACCAGTTCATGCTTTATTTTGTTAACAATACTCCAAAACCTCTACCATTGATGCATGGAGACTCTACCTTTGTCCAGGGCACCCGAGAGTTCCCTTTGAGCCTGGAACTAGATACCGCTCAAGCTGCTGTAATTCCTCCGGTTCGAGTAACCACCGTTCCGGAAGAAATTTCGTTGGCTCGGGAAATATCTTTGGGTCTCTCAAAATAAAATATGTCGACATAGAAACAAAAGTCTGGATAGATTTAGGATGATTCTACATTGAAGAGTCTCACTGCGCCACTTACCCCGGCTGGGATATCCCACTCCTTGTACCGTAGAATCTCATCTGGGGCTGAGCGAGGAAGCCGAGTTGTCACGACAGAGGCTAGACGGATACCCTCTCTAATCACAGCAGTATACAGAAAGGTGAGCATGGGAATCTAGATTTCACACATGGCATGATACTTACTAGATAAGGAATCTGCTCAAGTTGGTGGAGAGATGGGACAGCCCTCATATCTGGAATCGCCGTCAAGAGCTCGTTCTTTAGCTTTTGATACTTTGCCGGATTGTCAATCAAATGGAAGAGAGTTATAGCAGAGGTTTGGGACGGGGCATCTGTTCCGGCAAACATGAGGAATATGGCGTCATCTTCCAATCGAGATTGAGACTTTTCAATCAAAGGCACATTGGGATCACACATAATCGCAGGATAGATAGCTTTGGGGCTACTCAAAAAGGGGCTTTTTTCTGCTGAGAGGTTTTCAGACTGCATTTCATATTCCCACTTGTCATACCGGTCCACCAGTGTTTGAATTCGAGATCTGACGCTCTAGCAAAAGTATCATGATAAGTAAACAAATTCCAGAGCACAAGCAATAATAGTTCTGTCTTACCTGCTCCATGGCATAGACATGGGCATATGGTGGAAGTACCGTCGCAAGCTGACGAGGAATCAGATGAGCTATGTCGCCCATAAAGTTGAAGTGGCGGATCGGGCGGCAGAACTCAAACATCGTGTTCACTTGTGTCTTCCAAGTATCCGACAACTCGAGTTCATCTAGATGATGAAACCCAATATCCCGCCCGAAAGCATGCTGGGAAAGAGTATCGCTCGTAAAACAGTGGAAGACAGCATACAACTCCAATATACTTTTCTTCTTTGCCGCAGCTGAGAAGTGCTTGCATAGGGCCTGGGTATTTTCCTGAATAACTGGCTCAAGGTCTTGCACGGCGCTCTTTTTGAGAAAATGGCCCAAAATCCTTCTCCATGGCCGATGAGCTTCATGAGAGTTGAGTGAAAATATAGACTTGGGATATCCAATGTAACTGAATAGGGGGTCCTTGTTGCGGTGTTTTCCCGGGCCGGCGTAGAGGGTGTTGTAGTAGTCAGGATCTTTGATGTGAATTTCCCATGGGGTGATTCGAACCACGGGGCCGTATTTATCATGGAGATCGTTGATATGCCATGTGAATGTACCGCCTTTGATGAGCTGGAAATAAATCTCGTATAAGCGCGTAGCAGCTGCTAGGCGGGGACCTGGGAATTTAGCCAAGGGGCTCAATAGAAGACGGTAGACAAGAACCGATCCGAAATATACTGTAGTTAAAACAGAAACTATGATCCCATATGCAAAGTAGTCTTCCATGGTGAGGTATGCAAGGTGCTATTAGATGGCAGATATGTGGATTCCAAGGTTGCTGTTTCTCAGGGATATGGCCCTGACAAGATTCCCTAATCCAACCTGAACTTGAACACAGTAGCGGAATACTCGAAAGAAAAGGGGACTTTTGTTGATAGCCAATTTGTGTCACCTAGTATGCGTTTACTCAGTACATACTAGTAATGATAGAGTTTATGTATACGGAGTAAAGGCCTTTACATAGTACCAGACACAATATCCTGTATATTTCAAGTTTGCTTCTGTTGCCAGGAACATGGCGTGGCGTACGCGCTATATGAGTGATGTTGCTAATGATTTATCACAGTTTGATGATTGGCCAAGTGATGGCATCATGCATACTCGCAGGCTCACTGCACCTAACATTGCATAGAGCTGCCAGTGACACCTCACTTGACAACCTAAAAGGTGAACTCTAGCTGGTATTGTATTGGTCCATTCTGGGTCCTCTTAACCCCATGGAATCTTATGATAAAAATATACATGAAAAGTGATAAGATCCTCTCCGAGGAACTACACAACATAAGGAGAAATAATGAGTTAATTTGATCTTTTGGACCAAGCCTGAAGAACTCAAAGACACAAAACAAAACTGTCCCACTTTTCTCTGAAAAAAAAACCAAGATATCTTCTGAACTTAACTTCCAAGAACTTCTAGAAAAAAGCAAAAATGTGACAATGTGACGTGGAAGACGACTGTCGGCGTGGGTGGCGGATATTTGCTATTACGTGGCTATTATGGACCAATTGTTTTCAGCATTTAGGAAAAGGCAATGCGTGAGCTAGCGTTTACTTTGAATATCCATGCAGCACTCCAAATAGTCACAGGGTCGAAGGAAAAGAAAATTGAAACTATTGAACTTTACGCTACCCCATACTTTTCTGCCTCAGAAGATACATACCAGCATTGTAAACCGAAAAAACGCTAGTAATTTAACTCAAGAGTGCAAGACCTAAAATTATCGAACACCACTGGCAGGTAGTTGTAGGTTGGAGTCTTTGAGTTGGTGCTGTACTACAAATCGGGCATGCTGATGCTTCAGTGGTATGTTTGCCCTAGTTACGGACTTAAAGCCCTCCTATAGATACTAGTACCTAGGTGCAGGCTTGTCAAACACACCACCAACCTTGGAACGACAAGATACCTAGGTACCTAGTACCATTTTACCAACACGCGGAAGCAGTGAGTCGCCTCCCCCCTTCTCACCGTTCCCTGAATTGAGCCAAGTCTGTGTGACAAGCGCGCCAAATTCGATGAATTTCGATATATCGCCGCCGCGCCGTTCTGTCAAGCTGCTATACAGCCCAGGATGCTAATATCTTTCTCTCATAGCCTCGACCACGTGTCCGCCGGTTACGGTTGTGTCGACAAGCAGCGCAAGAGCCCTGGTAGTCGTGGTATGGCTGGTAGTCAACACCACCACCGTGCCAATATCGACAAGTTCCACCCCGGTTACTTCGGCAAGGTCGGTATGCACTACTATCACAAGAAGCTCTGTGAAACCCACAAGCCATCATTCAAAAGTTCGGGTGCTCGCAAGCTGCTATACCCACGTGGTTATTTTCTGGGCCGGTATCGGCCAAACTGACTGCTCACCACATCGTAGAGATAGTCAATAAGACCAGAAATCATGAGGAGACTTAAGAAAAAAAAACCAACTTTGAAATGAAATACAGAATTGGAACCTTTTCACAATAAATCGCAGAATGAATGTTGAGCCTATCAAGAAGTTGGATCTCACGCATGATGCATGTTTGACGATCACTGACAGCCACCGTGCCCAGATTTGCAAGGCGGCGCCAAGTTATTTTCCCTACGGAGTGCAACAAATTGGTATTTCAAATACGTGGTCCATACTGATGTGGTTGATAGATACAAGATTAAGTTACGCCTCCTCTGGAGTCCAGGTCCACTTGTCAGATCCTCGTAGAGTTATCCTCTCCCCTCCTACAATGTTACGAACGAACGAAGTAACGGGGCCTTCCACTGGCTATAGAAATTTACAGCAACCATTTCATGTAGCCTAGACGTGGAGGAGTTCGTCGTTCGGACTCGGAGAAGTTCGACTTCCTTGGAGCAGGTGAAAGAAAAATTCTCCTGTTGACATTTCCTCACAAATATTGAAGCGTTCGTCAAAGAGGAACTAACCCTATCTCACTGGCCAGTAAACGGCACGAGATGTTAAGCAATGCCGATGATTAACCGCATGGTAGACTGGACAATGATGGGTACAAAACATCAGAGGCAATTCGGCGCAAACTTCGGGATTGAGACCATGCCGAGCTTAGCAATACTAGTCTTTGCCGAAGAAGATCGGCATGCCAGTGCTTACAACTTCTCTTTCAAGCGGGATCCTTCTCAACCGGGAATGTCGGACCACTCGGAGAACCCCCGCGGGGCCCCTTCCCCACAGCATCCACAGCATGGCATCATGAGAGACTCCCTTTTATCCGCCAGAAGAAGGTGGAGAGATGACGGAAGAGTTTTTGAGAACACTGGAAAACACAATGGTTTTAAAGTGGACTTCAAGCGCCGTTGTTTGGGAAAGGGGGAATCCTCAGGCTAAATCATGGCAAAACTTCTAGCACTCACCCTGCTTTGGACACTGGCTGCCCAGGCTCTGGCCAAAGCAGCGGTAAATACCAGCTCTTTCTTGCCAATTCCTAATAAACCTCGCGTGTTCATTCTGTCGGATATCTCGAACGAGCCCGATGACCAAGAATCGCTGACTCGGTATCTGCTCTACGCCAACCAGTTCCAAACAGAGGGTATTTGCGCCGTAACTTCGACATGGCTGACCGACGAAGTCCACCCTGAGGAAATGCTATCCGTTATGAATGCGTATGGAAATGTCACGGATAATCTCAATCGACATGCTCCTCCGGACTCGCTGTATCCATCTGGTGATCATATTCGAAGCCTGCTACGCAAAGGTGCCACAGTGAGTGCAAGATTCCAGATCGTGAAATGGCCATGAACCAAAGTCCTAATAATCTCACTCGTCTAGACATACGGAATGAAAGCGGTCGGAAAGGACATTCCTCTCAGCGACGGAGGCAAGCTTCTGCTCGAGCGTCTTCAAGTTGAATCCGATCAGCCTTTGTGGGTCCTGGCCTGGGGAGGCACGAATGTCCTTGCTCAAGTTCTGTACAAAATTCACGAAACGCACTCCGAGTCAGATGCAGCCACCCTACGAGCCAAACTTCGCGTATACGCCGTCTCTGACCAAGATGATACAGGTGCCTGGATGCGCCAACAATACCCAGACATCTTTTACATTTCCTCAACCCACGGCTGGAACCAGTACGGCCTGGCGGCATGGATTGGTATTTCCGGTGAAAATTATTACGGCATAGATGAAGGCGGGCCCGACTTCTCTAGAGTCACTCACGAATGGCTCCGTGACAATATCCAAATTGGTCCGTATGGCAAAACCGCGTACCCGGATTACCAGTTCATCATGGAAGGAGACACTCCGACTTTCTTGTACCTCGTCCAAAATGGACTCGGATTCCCCGAGAACCCGGATTATGGGTCATGGGGAGGTCGCTATCAAAAGGTCAACCCTTCCACTGTTTTAAACTTCAATCATTACAGTGATGCGGCGGATCGGGTGCTGGGCCAGAATAATGAGACCTACACATCCAACCAAGCTACTATCTGGAGGTGGCGCGATGCTTTCCAAAATGATTTCGCGGCTCGTATGCAGTGGTCTCTACCTGCCAACGTCAGCCGGGCGAACCACCACCCTGTTATCTCGATAAATGGGAGTGCGGCGCTGACACCATTGAATCTGACTGTCGAGGCTGGATCTACTGTCACATTGAATGCGGCGAGAACCTCAGATCCAGATGGAGATCGCCTTACTTTCCGCTGGTTCCAGTATAGGGAGCCTGGAACCAATGATTGGAACGTTGCTGGCAAGGTTCCAGCATTGAATGTTAGTACCACCCAGGGTGGCAGACTGGCACAGGTCCAGGTTCCTGTCGAGAAGGAGAGTTGCAATGGAGAGGGTGTCAACCCGTCTGGATGCTGGCTGCTCCATCTGATACTTGAGGTTACAGATAATGGATACCATCCGTTGACGAGCTATCGACGCATCCTGTTGCAAACAACAAACTCGACAGCTGCAATGTGATGAGATTACGAGAGGTAGGTGGAGTGGGTTTAGCCAAATTTTGATTCAATTTAGAAGTAAGTAGATAAAAGCGATAATGCAGCAAAATAGCTCGAGACCTGAGTAGCTCCAGAGTAAATCAAACCTTGAAAATGACGATACGAACTTGTTCCCATTACAGCCATAGATGGCAGATATTGTTGCCAAGCCTACTAATCGACATGAATGTGCGGACAAAATTCAAATGTAAACAAGACAAGGTAGCGGTGAGGGTAATTTTGAGCCTCAAACTTGAAGCGCCCAGCTTGAAATATCTCAATCGAACCTAGATATTCTTTATAGGGTACCCTGAGAGAAATCTACCTCATATTTGTTCCAGATGAGCTCAATGGACCCCTGCCCCCAGCGTGTAGCTGGACCAGCGAACGCAAAAGATGCTGTAGCCATGAAAGCCGGATCAAGCTGTTCTACGAAGCAAGCGATCGAGGCGTATGGTCATTGGGTTCGAGGCTAGTTCTTAAAGATCGAGGTCCTATGGGTTTTCCAACACGCGAAGTACAAACCACACAATTTGTGCAGGAAAAGACATCGATCACAGTCCCCACTATTGTCGATTCATGGGAGGAAGACGGACACACCCTCATCTTGATGAAGCGCATTCCTGGAGAATCCCTCCACAGTGCCTGGCCAAAGCTCTCCACCGCCGAGAAAGAGAATATAGCACAGCAGACCGCTGAGAGTCTGCTTCAACTTCGCGATCTCCATTCCGATCGTATACAAGTTTTCGGGGGTCGTCCCGTTTACGCGTGTTTCCTCTTTCCGGGCAGCAATGGATATGGATATCCTCATGGCCCTTTTGCAACAGATGACGAGCTATGGGGTGAAATGGAGAGATGTTTAGATAAGGATGTGCCAGAAGCTGCGCGTATACGACTTCGCAGCCGTATGCCACCTGCCACGCCTTATACCTTCACGCATGGTGACCTGACTGATCAACATCATGGTCAAAGATGGATCTCTTACAGGCATTATTGATTGGGAACTTTCCGGATACTATCCCGTGTGGTGGGAGTATGCTTACACCTCGGTTCCTGATAGCGATGAGGATAAGGAGTGGAAAGCATTGCTACGAAGATATTTGCCTGACCACAGTGCTGCACGGGAATTTTGGCTAGATTATTATTGGCTTTGCAGAGATTTGGGGAATGAAAGAGCGGCAGGATTTATTGAGAAAACAAAAAAGGGGGCTCTGGAGAGAGAAGGTTAGACCTTTCTTGACCAAGACCTAGAGCACCAGCCCGGGTGGGCAACTGATATTCCTTCAAATGCCCATGAACGGTGGCCACACTGTTTTGACATCTGTTTCTTAGTTTCGCGGGTTCTCGGGTTCTCGGGTTCTATGGATGCTTGGAGGCATTTCTTTTTTTGAGAATGATCGTAACGCTCGTATATTCATGGTATCGAAAGAATTTCTATATATCCAAACGCCAAATGTAGAATCACCAATCCAAACCGTAGGCCATGCAATGAACAATAAATAGCAACCCAGAGTCTCCATCTCAACCAACCAGATACTCAGGAAGAACATCCTCCGGGTTCTCACCTACAGCTTCGCCAACAGCTCGCACAACACGCTTGATCGCCTTGGAAGCCGGGCTATCGGGAAAGTTCTCCACAAAGCTCTCGCCAAAATCGCAAGCCATGCCAACGCGAGGGTCCAGAGGCACCGCCCCGAGGAATGGAATTCCCATTTTCTTTGCCAGCCGGCGCCCACCGCCGGTAGTAGCGCGGAAGATCTGGGACTCGTGTGTACAATTTGGGCACACGAAGCCAGACATGTTCTCGACAAGTCCAAGAATGCGGATACCAGCCTTGCGACAGAAGTCGATCTCCTTGCGCACGTCGAGAAGCGAAACCTCTTGCGGGGTAGTCACGACAACAGCACCGTCAACACCAGACTCCTTGAGAAGGGAGTTGACTGAGAGATGCTCATCACTCGTGCCCGGGGGTGTGTCCACGAGCAGGAAGTCCAGTTCGCCCCAGTCTACGTCCTTGAGGAACTGCTTGATCAACCCGTTCTTCTTAGGGCCACGCCAGATGACCGCGTCGTCGCGGTTAGGCAGCATGAATTGTACACTCATGGCGCCCAAATTATCCGTCACCCACACGGGGCTCCAGCCCGCGTTGCTCACATGGATGGTCTCCGCCTCCACGCCCATCATCTTGGGAATTGAGGGTCCACAAATATCGGTGTCCATAATACCAACGGTAGAGTCTGGGTTTGTAGCGAAGCCGTGTGCAAGGAGACTTGTGAATGTCGACTTCCCCACTCCTCCTTTGCCGGAGAGCACCAGGATCTTGTGTTTTATTTGCGACAGTCGTTCAGTTATGATCGGGATGTCGGGGTCGGGGCCTTTAGGCGCGGTGGCGCAAATTTGTTGATTCGGACAGCCAGCACAAGCATCGCCTTGGCCAGCCTTCTCAGATTCAGGTCCAGGGCAGTGTTCTGCGACAAGTATTAGGCTTCATTGACTTGTGTCGGGTTGAAAGGTTCCCCGCGGTACATACCTGGTTCTGGAGCCACCAGGTTCGGTGCTCGCTTGGAAGGCGCATCGAGGTACGCCTCGTTCGACTCCTCCACGTATGGCGCCATCTCGTTTTATTATGCGAGGGAGGTGAGAGTAAAAAGGGTACAAATCACCCAGAGGTTGAGGGAGAAAAGCAGTGGTGGCGGCGAGCGGTGATTGATAAGCGGGGATGACTAAATTGCCCGCCGCCATTGGTGGGGGCTGCGGTGTCGGAGCGTCCCATATCGAGCATACTATTTTCATAGATAGTTGATGCGACCATGAAGAAGAAATGCATCAAACCACAAAGAAGGTTACATCAAACTTAGAGTTATTCAATACGAACAGGATAAGATAAGTAGAAAAAAACGTAGGCCAAATCTGGGGGCGAAGGGACTACCCGTCAGCCTCGATAGAGCATGGTCCCCTCATCATTACCTCTCGTAAAGGACGCTACGGGGCTGTGGTCGAATGGTTGCTACATGCAGGCACATTTGGTACGATTCAAGTATTTTCTAGTGACGATTGACATGCGTTAGTCCGACAAAGGGGGCTGGCCAGGGAGCGCTAGCGCAACATCCCTGTTCTCTTCAATTTGTGTGTACCTCATTGTATCCAATCACGCCTGATCGAGTCTAGGGCCAGGCTCTTATTCTGTCAGAACTTTAGCAACCGGCGGAATCTTGATTTGATGCGCCTCCACTGCATATTGATCAGTGTGGCCCCGGTCGTCGGTAGGACACTCGATCATCGACACTGTGGGTGAGACGAGAGGGGGAGTCTCAAGTGTCTCAAGATGGTGTTTAGCAAGGATGATATCATTCGAGGGTCTCTAGAGCAGACAGAGTAGAGAGTCCATGTGAATATGGAGTGTTACCACATGGCAAGGATATCTATTATCAATATCGACGCATTGACGTCAAGCCAAACAAGGGTTTATTTTTTATCCCAGTTCTACAAGTTCCAATATAGTGCTTTCAACGGTCTGATGTGCAGACTTGGCTCCTTAGTGATGTACTACTAGTAGTACGTGAAAAAGGCAACTGAGCTGTGTCAAGTCCATCCATTTGGTTCAGTCATTATTATTTGTCGAGAAATCTCGCATTCTCGCGTCCTCACAACCGAGCCGAAGAGTGTACTGTATAAGTTAGATGCAGGCCACTCCGTAGTGTGTGTACCTACTGCGGAGTGCCAGTGGATTGATGCACGAATCCTCTGGGGTATCCGCACTTGCCGCTGTCTGCTGCACATTATTAACGAAGAGGCCCCGCCGTTGCCAACGTGTAACCCATTGCATCGCATCGCATCCCATCCCGCACGAGCCAACAGCGAATTGGTGACCATATCATAGAACCGGAACTCAAATATACTGGACTTTCAATATTTTGCCGAGATTATATTTCTGCAGGATGTTGAAGAGGGTCGATTTAGCGTGTGGCGATCAGAGCCTGTTCTGCTTCTTTCTCTTTCTGCTCCGTTTGGGGGGGCCCGCACTAAACTCGCGCGGTGATGAGGAGGGGAAAGCATTGGACTGTGGTTCCACTTAGTGTGTGTCTACCATCCACCACATAAATACGAGCTCAACCTTTTGAAGTTAAATAAATTTCCCCTCTGCAAAGATTGCAAAGAGAAACAGCCAATTTCCAATACACCCTCTGGTGCACGGTAGGTTCAAATTGCCGTAAATAAGCGACGTGAGATCTGGTCAGATTTGGTGGATGCAAACAGGTCAATTTCTCGGAGTCTGTCACATGCTTCTGTCGTCACTCGAACGCCTCCCCCAACACTTCACTTCCTCAACAACATCATGGACCAGGGCCGTTCAACAGGTGCCCTGCAGCCTGACGCGCTGCGCGAGCGAATTCAACGCCCTAATTCAACTGGGGGCCGCGATGCTCTAAATGCCCATGGGGAAGCTGAAATCAAGGATGCGGCCGGCAAAGACAAGAAGACATTTGGGCGGACTCCCGATGGAACCGGTACGTGATTGAATCCCACCACTTCCCAGGAACACCCAAGGACTTGACTGTCGATTCATGTCCTTGAATAGCGTCCACATTTGACTCTCCTCCTGCTATCCTTTACCCTCACTGCCCCCCCCGTTCTGGTGGAACTTCCCCGCTAATCCGCTCGTGCGCGTTTTCCTAGTGTTCACAGTGCCTCAGACGCATGATATGGTCTCCCAGCTGCTCTCGCCATCCGAACCCAAGAATTTGTCAGACGTGGTGGTTTTAGCTTTGCTTGCGATCCACGTTCTCCTGCTCTGGGTCCTCCCCGCTAGTGCTAAAGTACCGGTGTTCGCTGTCATCTACCTCTCTTGGCGCGCGGGTTATAATGGAGGAATCGGATGGCTATTGCACCACCAGTCACATCACAAGACCTTGATCCGGTGGGCCGAGAAGACGAAAATCTTCGTTGACCCGGCCACCGGGGAAAACCCACACCCTACTCTATACAATTGGATCAAGCGGGAGCTGGAGACCAAGATTCCCCATGATTACAAGTTCGAAAATGCCCCAATTGAATACAACACCTGGCTTGTCTTTAGGCGTCTTGTGGACGTGATTCTTATGTGTGACTTCACTTCCTACTGTCTCTTCGCGATAGCATGTGGGAAACATCCTGTGGATGAGAACATTCTCATGACAGTCCTGCGGTGGACAGCGGGCATCGTGCTCGTTCTGTTCAACCTTTGGGTCAAGCTAGATGCCCATCGAGTAGTCAAGGACTATGCCTGGTACTGGGGCGATTTCTTCTATCTCATCGACCAGGAATTGACCTTTGACGGCGTTTTCGAGATGGCTCCTCACCCAATGTACTCTGTCGGCTATGCGGGCTACTACGGTATTTCGCTTATGGCCGCGAGCTACAAGGTGCTCTTCATCTCCATCATTGCCCATGCAGCCCAATTCGCCTTCCTCGTTCTCGTGGAGAACCCGCACATCGACAAGACCTACAATCCGCCTCCACCCCGCAAGCGATCTGTCTGTGCCGATTCATCTACGAGCCTACCTATCGACCTGGAAACTCCCACTGCGCCAACTCCTTTCGAAGATATTTCTCCCAATGCGTCCTCGTACTCGGCAAAGCCACCCCCTTCGGTCCACAACATGTTGGGGCTGCATAACCTGGATCTGTATAGAACCACCGACTCGTCCACAATGCTGGTTCAGATGCTCGTATTTGCAGTCACCGCGTTGACTCCATCCACCCCACGCTACCAACTCCTGTTTGTGGTCAATGCCGTCGTATGGCGTGTCTGGTTCTCTGTAGGCATCGGATATCTCCTGAATAACCAGTCTAACAACAAGGCCTGGACAAGACACTTCCTCAAGTTCGGTGAGACCCCGCATGAGGCGTGGAGCCAATGGAAGGGTTCGTATCACCTCAGTATGATCATGTGCTACGCCAGCTTCATCGCTGCCGTTTGGAAGATGTACAACTTCCCAGCAGACTGGGGCTATGGTCTCGTGCTTTTCCGACACGTCCTAGGCGCAGGTCTGATTAGCTTGCAACTCTGGACATCGGTCAGCATCTATGAGTCCCTTGGCGAATTCGGCTGGTTCTACGGCGACTTCTTCTTTGACGAGTCCCCAAAGCTAACCTATAATGGTATTTACCGTTTCCTCAACAACCCCGAACGTGTTTTGGGCCTTGCAGGCGTCTGGGGCGCTGTTCTCATCACTAGCAGTGGTGCAGTCACGTTCCTGGCGCTGCTGAGCCACATTCTCAGCCTTGCTTTCATTCAATTCGTGGAACGTCCTCATATGCAAAAGCTGTATGGTCGCAGTCTTCGCCAGGACGGAGGTGTTGTCAAGAATCTCAAAAAGTCTCTTCCGCCTCCCCTCAAGCAGCTGCATGGAAGTGTGGACAAAATGTTCGACGATTCTTTTGAGTTCATCGAGGAGCTACTCGACAATGCCCGTCCCAAGTTAGCCGCCGGAGTCAGCACCTTTGTCAAGGACACGACAGCCCTCTTTCAAAAGTATCCTGCTCGCATCACCATTTCCCGTATCGATGCAGACCTGGCTGGTCTTGACATGAGTGACTATTCGTTGTCGGTAGAGGGCACTGAGGCCAAGTCCTTCGAGGAGACCGAATTGGGCAAGGGTCGTGAAGGTGCTAATGCCCGTATGCCACTTGACCGACGAGGTGACTTGAAGAACCTCACTTTCGAATACGGCTCCCCAATCAAGGTCAAGTGGACTGCACCTCTGACACACAGCAAGAAGGACTGGATCGGCATCTATCGTGTCACGGACAACACCTCCCGCGAAGTCTCTCGAGTCTCCTCGCAGGGCCGCTGGGTTGCAATCAACGAGGGCTCCTATGATAACCTCACCTGCGAAAAGGGCATCATCACTAGTGATCTTGTGATCAAGTCGGATCGCCCAGGACATGAACTTGCTTCCGGCGAAGTGGTATTCTCTGGCGATAAACTCTTCTGGACCCAAGGTGTCTTCGAGCTCCGCTACCACCACAACGGCTTGCACAACGTGATGGCCATCTCGAGACCCTTCGAAATCCGCATGCACCGATTTGACGAGGATGATATTACCATCGACAGCGATGGCATCGTGCAAGGCACCGTTGAACAGTCCTTGCTCCCAGTCGTCCGGAACTGCTTTGACCAAGACCCCGAGATTGCACCCGAAACCTTCGACGAGCAGTTTGGCAGTCTGGTCGAAAGGGATGGCAAATTTGCTAAACGGGTTGTATTTGCCGTTCACCAAATGTGAGTATCCCCCCAACTATTCGTTCCAAATCCATTGCTAATCATCCCCCCGCAGGTTCGGTGTTGAGCTCGCACCAGAAGTTGTCAAGGCAGATGGGAACGTCCGGAATCTCGCCTGGAGGATATGCAATGCGAAGAAAGTGCTCGTAAGTTGTGTGCATGACCATCCCTCTCCACGAGAGAATCGGGTTAACCCTATTATCGCAGGCCCCCTACAGCATGTCCCAATCGAACGGAACAACAACACCAGTCGAGACACTTGAAGGCAAGCAAGAGTGAAACCAAAAAAAAGGACCGCCATACGTACGACCATTCCCAGTCACACAAATCGCAATCGACCGGTTATGGGAATACTAGAGTGGTACCGGTGCCCAAGGAGGGCTAAAGTCACGAATTTCTTTCGAAGTTGCGGTGCGATATGAAAACGAGAAAAACAACAGAATACCGCTGTGTACGGATGCAGAGGATTCTCTCGAGGAAAAGAGGGGGCAGGTGGGATTTTAATTTATTTGCCTTAGAGTTCGATGTGATATCCCTGGCTGTTTAGAATTGGGCTGGGTGGTCGTGTGCTTTTTGTGTTTTTGCTACCTTGGTCGTTGAGGACCCCGGGGACGAGGACCGGGGTGTGCTCGATGCAGGGAACCTTTGCTTTCAAACAAAATCTTTTCCTGTCATTATTTCTTCGTACATACATGGCCTTATTTGTTTTCAGACATTAAGTTTCAGGTAATGTTATATTATTACTAGCTATGAAACGAATTACATCTGGAAAGAGCATGCTTGAAGCGAGCAATGTGAATTGATTCATTATTATCTAAATTTATTACGATTGTAGGGCGTTGAGAAAATTCTGCAGGTATTGTTAGCGTCAATTACAACACGGACATGTTAAGCGAAAGACGAAAATGGCATAACTCGCAAGCAAAAAGCAAGCAAGTAATCAGCCAGCCGTTTAACTCATCCCATCCTCTGCTGGCCCTGCGAACCAAACTGGCGCCCAAGACGGACGATCAGCCCAACCCGCAGAAACCAACACAAGCCAGACGTCGCAAGAACCACGCCGCAGCAAGAGTCAGTACCAGAAGCATTAGCAAGCGACGATTGAGCCCGCTCTCTCCGGTGCTCCACAACTTTCCTCCCAGGGACGTCCGTGAGGATATCCTTGGTCCAGTTTGGGAGTCGCAGAGGCGGATCGTGACTTTACTTCGGGGTGACAACTGCACAGTATGGGTGCTAGCCCGGGAGGCGGTTCTCTTGAGAGATCATTGAATGGATTGACTAGTTGTCATCATAAAGGGGGGAGGTGGTATGTGAAGTAAAAACAGATATATCCGTACCTTTTAGCTGCGATGTCGGAGAGCATTGCTTGGAGATAAGAGTACTAAAAAAGGATCTTCTGATGGTCAGCACTTGTTGTCGAACAAATTGTGACAAGAGAATGGCAGTGAGGTAGACATGATCAGGAGTTTTTGGTAAGGTATTTTGTTATCTTCAAATATTTTGCAGAAGCAGAACTGAAAATTTTTCTCATCATAGAAAGTGGGCAAGGAAAAGCAAAAAGAAGAAATAATCGGTAGCTTACCATAGTGTTTGGAGCTGTAGGCGACATGCTTGGAAAGCCGGTCAGTGTAAGTTTACGAGTTCCTGGCTTCAATGATGGTCAGCTTTGATTCCCGGTGACGATATTGAGATAAAAACATGTGTGATGATGTTGTGTCCATCAGATGGTAGTGCATGTTGTTCTTAGGCCCATTTTTGGTCGCCGAACAGAGATTTGGATCGGATTCCTCATAAGAGACACGGAGGGTGGAATTGGCAGTGTAAGGGGATGAAGATACTCACATGAATGTTAGTGGGGAGTAGAAGATAAATGAGTTGTTTCCCCTTGGACAAGCATCTTCGACATAAGAAGAGCAAACCCAAGGGTAAACAACATGAAGAGGTGTGGAAGAAGAAGAAAGCAAAAGAGCGAAGAAATTTAAGAAAAGCACGCGGGTGGGGTCTAGTGCAAACAGTGCAAACCCCTCAAGATTTCCGTTTCTGGCTTTCAACGCCGCAAAGACCTGCCGCAGCTTATTGACCTTGCAGAACAATCACCATGAACGACAGAAGACGAGTGAATGGCCCACCGGGCGGCACAAGGCCTCCGGTCTATGCCTCTTTACTTCAATCTGGGACTGGCGCCGACATCCGCGCCCAGCGCCAGCGACAACCTACCGATCTAAGGAAAATCTGTATGCAACGACGAGCTGCCTTCCCTGCACCCAAGAATTCCAACTAATCCGTGATAATTCCCTCTAGTCCTCAAGACTGGACTGATTCCTTCGGCCTCGGGCTCCTCATACCTTGAATTTGAACCATCCGCTTCTCTCGCTGCCGCCCGCAGCAACCCCAAATCTCTGATCCCGCCTTCCTCAGCTTTGAAGCTCGCCTGCACAGTCCATGGTCCGAAACCGCTGCCTCGTTCAGCTCCATTCTCTCCAAATCTCGTCTTAACAACCCATGTCAAATACGCGCCCTTCGCAGCCCGCAAGCGCAAGGGCCATGTTCGCGATTCCAGCGAGCGCGACCTGGGCGTCCACCTTGAAACAGCTCTGCGCGGCGCCATCATTGCCGAGCGCTGGCCCAAGAGTGGCCTCGATATCACGGTTACCATTCTTGAAGCAGAGGATGACCGCTGGTGGGGCGATGTGCCGGACTCGCACGATGCCTCGTGGGGCATGATGAATGTTCTGGCGGGCTGTATCAGTGCTGCGTCGGCGGCCATTGCGGATGCGCATATCGACTGTCTAGATCTTGTATCTGGCGGTGTGGCTGCTCTGGTTTCCGACGACTCAACCGATTCTTCTTCGGCGCTGCCGAAATTGATGCTAGACACAGACCCAGCTGAGCACCGCTCCATTGTCTCTGCTTGCGTGGTGGCATATATGCCTGCTCGGGACGAGATCACAGAACTTTGGCTCAAGGGCGATAGCTCCAAGGTTTCTACTGCGGACGGCGATGAGCGAAGTGGTCATGAAGCTTTAATAGACGGTGCTGTTGATGCTGCTCGGGGAGCGCATACTGTCCTGGCGGAAGCTGTGAGGGAGTCACTACAGAAGGCACTCGGCCAGTCATAAAGTCAAAAGTACCCCGAATTTAATGAAGGAATGAAATTTAGAAAACAATCTCTTTCTATCTAACTAACTCCCATGGAGTGCCGTATATACTGCCCCGCGTGTTTTCAGAGAATCATTTTCAAGTAAGTAGTACTTCAATTCGGACCGGATGTAAGCAGTCCACCAGATAAACTGAACCTAATATCTGGGTAGCTACAGGCGCTACTATTAGTAGTACGAATAGTACGAGATTCGAGGCTAGATCTACCGGGTTAGGGCAGGCCGGGTTAAGGCAGGATATCTTCCAATAAGCACTAATCCAGCCCCAAGTCAGTCCCCTTACTACTTTGTGCATTGCTCTGGTTAAGAAGAATTCATTCTTCAACTACCTCCGATGTAAATTAGCCCCGAGATCCCCACGCAGAAAGGCCTCTGAAATCCCATGAATGATTCCAGCCATAAGCAACGATTGAATGGACAAGTCACCTCCGAAAAAAAAAACCCTTAAAAAACCCCAGGGATTCCTCCAACGCCCACAGCGTTCACCTTAGACATCCTCGCCAGAATCATCTTCCTTGAGTTCAGGATCATCGGCCTTGATGCCCGACTCGGTCTTCGTGACGGTGTCGCTATGTTCCTGCTTCTCTTTCTGGTTCGTGTCACCAGCTTTCTCCAGATTTTCAAAGTACTTTCGCAGTTTGTAGAAGCGGCCCGTAGCGGCTTTGTAGTTGATTCCAAGCTTGGAGCCGATCTCGCCGTAGTCCGGAGCCTGGGGGGGGGGGGAAGTCTTCATTAGAATGACGGTTGGAATCCCCGAGAGGGCCAGCGGATCGAGGGACTTACTGGCTTTCCGCCATTGTGAAGGAAGCATAGCCACAAGAAGTATTTGTCCGCGTCGTCGCTAGAACCTCGAGTGGCAGAGGAGGAGACCTTCGACGGGGTCCCCTTTGTAGGAGATCGGCTTGGGGTGGTCTTTGGTGCCCTTTTCTTGGTCACCTTGGATGGGGTCACCTTCTTGGTATCCTTGAGGAGGAAAAAGTCAACATCAGTCACAGATCAAATAAAATGATAGATTGTGGATTACATGATGAGTTCGAAAGTTTTTGGTTCAATGTAGAAAGAAAGGAGATTGATGGATGGAAGAGGGTTGGGTGGAGAGAAGAGAAAGAGAAAGAGAAGGATGAGTGTTGCTTCTAAAAAGGAAGAGGAAGGAAAGTTGGATGTTTACTCACGGGATTTAGGCCACCAGGTTGCTCATTTCGTGAACCAAAATCCATCTGGCTTCTGTTACGGAACATTGCACTGTTGTGGAATCTCATCAATTCAGATTATGTCTAAAAGTCATACTATGGGAAGACGACGATCAACGAGGTGTGTGTAGATTGTGCAAAGAAAGCTCCCCAGGCCAACGAAGCCGTGGAAGAAGGACAATAGTAAAGGATGAGAACAAGAACGTCGTAGAAACAGTAGACACCGCAAAAATCGCGATAGGCAGAAAGTGCTGCAATTCCTTTGCATAGATGGTTCAAGAGGGCCCGAGAGATGGTCAAGCTATGCGACTCGCCCTTAGACAAGAGTCTCTCAACACATAGGAACTCCAGAGCCTTCCCTATTAGATATCGTCGTACTCCATGGTCAGATCGTAGTGCCCCTTACAAAGGGTGTCAGACTCTGGCCTGACATCAAGACCAGGCTCTTTCTTGACATCGGCCCGGGTTTCGGCCTTGACGCTTGTCTCGGGCTTCTGATCAAAGTCCCCGTCGGACTTCAAGATCCAGCTTGCTGCACACTCGTCATCGGATTCCTCACCGAGTTTTCTCTTCGAACCTTTCTTGGTTTTCTTTTTGAGTGTGGCAGTCTTTGCGTTTTTGGGAGACCCGGATTCACCCTCGAAGATTGCCTTGAGCTTGTAGAAACGCCATCTGGCTGCGGCAGTTGATACTCCTAGTTCCATTCCCAGGGCATCAAAATTTGGATTCTGTATTGTCATAAAAGAATCAGCAAATTTCTCATGGTAAAAGACCGGAGGGGAATCAAGATCAATAAACGCTTGAATAGCAAGCGTTGGTATGTTTACCTTGGTCCCGCCATTGTTGCGGAACGAGAACCACAGCGTACGAATGTCCTGCTCATTGAGGCGCGAAAGAGGCGGGTTAGTAGTGGCGGGTCGCTTCGGGGTCGTAGCCTTGGTGGCTTGTTTGGCCACCTTGGACGGGGTGGTATTTTTGGAAACCCTAAGTTTTAAAAAACTGCGGTCAGTCGCATAGCAAGGGTAGAAAGAAGAGAGGTCGGTATACATGATAGGTGAAATGAGATCGGTTCAGTATTGCTGGGTTCAGATTGAAGGTAATAGAGAGGTCGGGAGAGGGACAAGAGAGGTAGGAAGAGCTAGGAAAGGAAAGATTGGGCAATCACTTCAAGTTTACCTTCCAACTTTGGATTCCCACTGGGGTGCTCTGGAGACAAGGACCTGCCGCAGGTGGACGGTCTAGGGACAAGCAAAAAAGGTGCGAGTAGTATGACCTAGATTATTAACAGATAACAGTCGGTATGAAGATGATGTAAAGGCACGCTTCCACCCAGTACAACTGAGTCTAGGTACTATCTACTAGGTACCTAGTAGTACCGCTATTCTACTGCTGCCCAGTAGTAGCCAGTAAGTGGTATAAATGGGGCAGAAATGGAAATCACATTGACCCTGAATAATGGGGGGCCGCAACCACATAACCCGATGCACCCAGGCCAAACTTGGCCACGCATCACATTGAAATATGGTCATCACCACGGAAGTTGAAAACATTCAAGTTAAAACAATACATCTCCCCCCAATAGCGTATTCATTTGCGGAATTCACTTGGTATGCCCGGCTAGTTCTCGAGAGGCTCAAGCTTGAATGGAGGCGAAACTAGATCGTCGAGATCGTTGAGATCGGTCTCCGGGGGTGTCTTCTTCTCGGTCTTCACCTCCTCATCTTTCAATCCCTCGTCCTCTGATTCCTCATCCATTGAATCCATATTCCTCATGAAAATTTTCAGACGAGAGAAACGCTTGTTGGCAGTCTCCTTCCGAATATTCAGTTTCTCGGCAACTGCTGCGAAGTCGATCTGTATGTAGTCCAAATAAGCATGAGCCACTCGTGGTGAAAGGTCCCAGGTCCCTGGTAAAACACTCACCCCGGCACCACCGCCTTCCTTGCCAGCGAGGCTGCATTCGATGCAGGTCCAGAGAAAACGGACCTGGGGATTGACTGCAGTAGCGCCTTTCTTCTTGGATGACTTGGCAGGACTCTGCTTGGCTTTGGGCTCCTTTGAAACCTTGGGTGTCATGTTGCTGAGATCAAAGTGAATTGTGCCAAGTGAAAGAGATTTATGTGAGTGGATGCGAGTAAGAGATAGAGAGTTGAGTAGTAGAAAGTGAGAAAAGTGTAAGAGAAACAAGGAAGCAGAAGAGAAGAAAGAGAAGGGAGGAAGGAAAGGAAGAAAGAAAACCATCGATTGGTAAGAACGCATTAGAACATACTTGTATCTTTCTTAAGCATTGCACCTTCAAGTTCTTTAGGCTGTCCAGGACCAGAGTGGCAATTGACCCAGTGTTTGGGCACTACTAAGTGGACAACCCCTTTGGCTTTTTGGACACTATATCCTGTCTATTTAGGAAACCTTAGAAGGTGCTGTATATGTATTTAAGTTACTACCCGGGTATCTTCTAAATAGGCAGGATAGGGTGTTCAGATAATAAGGTATCCACTTAGTCGCTCCCCTATACCTAGATACTTACTACTACTAGTACTGATATCTACTGCACCAGTAGAAGCACTAACTAAGTACTTTCTGGCCCTGCCTATAAAAATTCCGAAGCTGTTCCTAATACCATAATGTGCCCAAATTGATAGGAAAGACCAGTACTTTCGGGATGCTGCCATTCTGGCAGATACACTAGGCCAATCCCCGTTCAGGAGCGCCATAGGCTAGAAAAAAAAGAGCTACTCAAGAAATTCCATTTCATAGATCCCATATGATGATAAAAATCTCGCTCACGATCCACCAAGAACGTGAATCCGAGTATTCTCCCATTCCTCAAACTCTTCTTCCTCCACCTTGGCCAGCTTCTTCTCTTCTTCTCTTCTTCTTCTTCTTCTTCTTCTTCCTTGGTCATTTTCTCTTCTTTCTTCTCGGCAACAAACTCGTTCTCCTGTTCAATCTCCACCGCACTTTTGTCCTCTGGGACTTCGCTGACGACGGTCGACATCATCTTTTGAATCCGAGAACGCAGCGAGTAATAGCGGGCCTTGGATTGGGCATACTTGAGGCCGAATCTCTTGCCAAGCGCATGGTAGTCAATCTGCAGATCAATAAAGAACGGAAGAGTGAGCGAAAGTCCGAGAAAAGATACACTTGGACTTTTGAAAGGAAAACTGAACTTGCCGTAGTCTGCCCGTCTTTTATGCCGTCATTTTCCTCGAAGTAGATCCACAACAAAGCGAGGTCCTTTTCGACCTGGCTGCCTTGCGAAATGGTGGTCTGAGTGGCGTGCTTCTTGGGCACCTTGGTGGACTTTTCTACCTCGGGCTTTTCCACTTTGGGATACTTGGGGGGGACGACCGCGACCAAGCTTAATGGTGAAAGGTGTTTTCAAATGATATTGATAAAGCGGAGAGAGATATGTGGGGATCGGTGAAAGAGGCGGGGATGGAATTGGTGTGGGGAAGAAGATGAGCGAAGATGAAAAGGAGTAAACAATAAATTGTTGGGAAGGGTCAAAAGGGCAGACAGAAAGTGCAAATTCACTCTTTCCTCGCCAATATAAAACTAGTAGTATTCAATATTCAATCTTTTAAATTAAGTTTAGAATACTGAGCGACAAACTCATCAAACAGCTTGTTCAGCCCAATCAGATTCAAGGGATCCTTGTCACCTTCTGCATCCATAAAGCAAAGCATGTTGTGGATATCAAAAGTGATGGCCAACATGTATCCATATTCGGATTCCTGGAAAACCTGTTCCCCAGTATCTGTATCTCCGGTCAATTTGTTCCACTGCCTGGCATATTCGTCGCAGAAATGCCTCTTCTCTTCCTCCGTATATTTCCTGCATCTTGCTATCCTACTCTCTTCATCAAACCATTTGAACATCTTTTGCATGAAATGCCCACCGATATCAAATGCCCGGTAGTTGCGCATCACGAACTCAAAGTCAATGAGTGTGACTTTGCTCTCCCCTTCTTTCGCACAATTTTTCACCATCACGTTCATGAATTGAACATCATGAATACACCACCCTGTCTGCCCTCCAATGGACTCCAATTTGTCCACCACATTTCTCAGTCTCTTCCCAAAGTCATAATCAACTAATTTGTCGATACTGACGCCTCCTTCTTTTCCAAGTGCCTTCAACTTGTCCATCAGGTGGTAATTCCGGAGTCCTTTGATGACAGCTTCATAGTATGATTCCACCGCCTTTTTCTCCAGCGATGTGTCCAAAACATGGAATATTGCGAGTCCTTTGGCAACATCCGCTCGGATGACTGAATTCTCAACATCCTCTGGTTCCATGTTACGTGCATCCAGGAACTCCTCGACTCTCCCGAGAGTGCCGTCCTGGGTCTCGAAGAACCCGTATACTTTGGCTCCCAGTCCGGTTAGACCGTATTCGTAGGAGAAGAGTGCTTCTTCATGTCTAGTTGGTGCCAGGGGCTTGAAGATTTCGAGAGATCCTCCGGCGTCGGTGTGGAATTTAATGAACACCTTCAATGTCTCAGTGGATGTGCCGGTAGCGGGTTTCGGTCGCTCCACGGGGCAGTGGGCGTTGGCAAAAGATGCATGGTATGACACAGTAAGAGTTTCTGGATCCACAGATGGCCATTCTTTTGTAAGGAATGTGCCAATAATGTCCCTGGTGTTCTTTTTGGTCGGTACTTTGTCTTTTGGAAGGGTCACAGCAACAGGAGTCAATGTGGCCATCTTGTTTGGATGGGAAGGTGGAAGATCTTTGGCGGCGTAATGAAGTGAGAACCTTGGAACCTAGGCAGGAAAGTATATGTCCTAGTACTAGGAGCGCTTTGATTTATAGTTGAATCGATATATTATGATGTGTGTGACCAGTGCTTAATCACAATCTAATCGAAAACAGAAATGGACAGGTGCGATTCTTTTTTATGGCTAGGTCTTCTCCTATTGGGCGATATGAAGGACTAAGAATGTCTCATCCTGAGTCATTGCCGATCGACTGAAGAAACATTCCGTAAGGTAGGATGGCCAAGTATTAAATGAACACTGCCAATGTCACGCGCTTGAAGAGCTCCAGGGTTTTCATATGAAACGGGACCTTGGAAGCTCCCGAGGTCCGTGACATTGCGTACCTAGGTATGATGGTAGAGGGGTTCAATACAGACTGCCCAGGTAGTAAGCGGTCAACTACTAGTTAGTAGGTGCCGGTGGCTGCCCATGAGCTTATACTACTAAAAAAACTTGAATCCAATTAGTATTTACTAAATTTAGACTCGGAGTTACTATGCACTTTCCATAAAATAGAACAACTTGAAGCTGCTTACATGAGAACAGCAATTCTGGAGTCCTACTACTCGTACGAGGAAGCGGTAGTACTACGTACCATTAATTGATCCGGTTTTTATGCCGGAATAGTGGGTCGATGACCAATATAGAGCGCTGTAAGAAGTGATGATTTTTCTTTGATACTATATAGCCAATATTGCCGAGCAGCAACTTCAAGTTTCCCGGCACAAATATAAACTTATATTAATTTATATTATTTGGAATGCTTGTACGGATGAACTCCGTGTCAGTTCCCAGTTTAATTTAAATTAGCGAGGGGTTTATTGCATGATGTGGGGTGGTGTGGTGTGCCTTGTTAGGGCATCCTGCACATTGTGTACTCCGTACTCCGTACATAGCTCTACCTAGGTATGGAATATTCGGAGTAGCTAGATTTGAGTCGCACAAGGAAATCTTGGAAATAAAGTCTGACGATCAGACTTTGTAGCGTCAGTAAGTCTGGTGTGAGCACCATTGAGACTTCCTATCGCAGTGTGTGCCCCGTGATTAAAGTAGCAGGGACTCTCCAGTTGCAGTCTCACCTTTTTCTTTTTTTCTTTGCTTTTGACATCCGTCGAGCTCGACCTTGACCTCATGCTTGAATGGGCAAAAGTACGACGATCGCGGACCCATCGAATCTGTATCGACATCGAATCTGTATCGACATCGGAATCGGAATCGGAATCGATCGATCGCAATCTTACATACTTACAAGCTCACAAAGCTATTCCATGTATGGACTTGTTGGTACCCAGTTGTCACAACCAGCAGAATGACAAAATTGCCAAACTTGACGGGGGAGATTCGACCTCCCCAATGATTCACCTCTTCTCTACCCGGATCGACATGACCGCACGCACTGAGTTACTTCGGTTCCATAGGTCGCGGCCGAAGCTAGTGTTTCGATTTCACACCCCTGCGTGTTCGTGCCCACCCAGCCCCATCGGGGAACGGCGGAGGCAGCAGTCGAGATCGTGACTGTCCAAGTTTTGGCCAATCTCACACACCCCTAAACAAGATGGATCTGCGCTTTTCTTTGTTCCTGTCACGTCCCTAGGGCGCCCCTAGCGCTCCAAGGCTACGGTCTACTCCATCTGGCGTGGGCTCCGCGCCCTCGGATATGCCCAACGAACCAAATTTGGCACTCAGTTCGCGGCCTGTCCGCTAAGAACGAGCTGCCCCACTGTACTGCAGTCGATCACTTCTCATCACACCAATCAGCGCGTCTGCGGAAATTGGGAGCCCCATCCCATGCCATATTCAACCCTAATCCGCCTCGGTCGTCTTCCATTTGGCCTCGTGCTCGGTATTTGATCCCCATCAAAGAAACCTCCATTGGCATATCCCAACGCCCCCGAGGCGTACTCTGTACCACTTCCCGCGATGAGCCATTCCAGATCAGACAGCCTGGCGGGTCTCGACGGATCAATCCTCGTTGTCTGTCATGGATTTCTTGTTATGTGGACCCCTTTTGACTTTGAATTGGGGCCGGAATCTGGCCCGCAGCCTATTATGCAGGCTGGACGTTTACTCCGGAGAAGGTTCTGCTAGCTGCATAAAGTTGACCCGGTTAGGGGGGGGCCAGCTTGTTTCTTCACCCCCTCGTGCTGCGAGGGACAAATTTATGCGCCTGAGAACAGGCCAGCTGCCCTCGAGTTCGTTTGAGTTTACCGAAGCCAATTAAGTGATAGACGACCGTTCATATGTCCAAGTCTACGGCAAATGGAGCACTCTTAATTTCTTAGCGTTCGAACCGCCAGTCCGCATTAGCCTAGCCCCATCTGTGCCCCCGGGCGATGGATCATGGAGAATACCGGGCCATTTCCCCTGGATCCAGACACACCAAAGAGTGCTAGATCTGCACGCCGACCACTTGTCAAAGCAGGTCTCCGCTACTCTTTCTTGGTGGCGCGTGCGAATTTTCTCGCCCTTCCTTTTTCTTTCTCATCATGTCAACTTACACCGATTGGCACCTTCGAACCGTATGAATGCCTTCAAACAAGCCCCAAACTTGCAATGAAATGCGTTGATCGCTTGCTCTTTCACGACGGCCGTCGGTCTAGTCGTTCCACTTCTTAGCTTCAGGACTGTTTTCCCCCTTCTAAAACGTCATTTATCCACTCGCCTCGCGCGCGGCCTAGCTTCAACTACGGGTGACCACTAGACGCATGATCCCATGTGCTGTACAACTGTCAATATGGTTGCGCTGAAGAAGCTTTTCCAACAGTCAGAACCAAATCGGTCACGGCCCTCAAGTGGCCTTGATCTGGGTGATTCCAGAGCGGATGAACGATACTATGCGGCGCGAGAGCACCTGGAGCCTGGCTATATATCTGCCGCTCCCCCATCGCCGGGGTTTAAAACTGCACAGGCTATAGATGTGTCGCACCATTTTGACCAAATCGACAAGCAATTCGAGGATCTACATCACCATATGAGAGACGAGCGGCCGCAATCCGGCCAGTCCGAGCTACCACCTCCACTGCCAACGACCATCGGAGTTCCAAGATATTCCAATTCTCGACATATCGATTTGATGGATGCTCTCTACACAGCCGATCGAAATCAGGCCATCAGTCCCAGTCCCGTTTCATCTCCCACTAGCCCCTACAATGAAGATGTCGCAGAACGGAATATGACCAGGTTCTTGCGCATACAATATCGGAAAGGATTTTCGAGCTCTCGAATTTTATCTGCTCTCTACCAGGAGGATGTGGCGGACAGGAATATTGCGAAATATGGAGGTCAATCTCGCTCAACATCTGCATTAAGCTCCCGCTCATCCCCACCTGCGCCGGGTAGACGAAGGCGCGGTTTGAGTCCAATGGGCTCGGATGGCAAGAGACGTGACTCGCGAACCATGACTTTAAAGTTAGGCAGTTGGATGTCAGAAGGAGATCTTCGAACTCGATCTAATCCTGACCGCGACTCCGGTTCATCGCGTGCGTCGCATGCCAGCACTTTGATTCGCTTGCAAAGATCCGCACCTACCTTGTCACCGGAGGAGACTGATGCAGCAGAAGAAGAGATTCCCGATGCTGTTCAACGTTTGGGTGTACCTCCTGCTTATAAACAAGGCAAGAAATGGAGTAATACACCTCTGCCTGACAGTCCCACGCTGCCTTTCCCAATTAGTGATAGCCGCAACAGCAGTAGCGGCGCCAACACCCCCTCAGAGCTGCAAGCACCTATTCCAACAGCCCGAAATTCATCACTCAACCCCAGATCACTCTCTCCGCCTCCGTCATCAGGATCTAGTTCAAAGAAGAATGTTCGAGACCTATCAATAAATACACAACTGGCCGCAAAAGGCCTTCAAAAGATCTCACATCGTGCGATCCAGCCTCCGACCCCTTCCAACTTTGAGATGAAGCGAGCCCCTAGCATTGCAGAAGTTATGAACAGCCCTCTACCGGAACCAACTCCTACAAGTCCGGTTCAATCAACCGAGTCCCCTCGATTCAAATTTTCCGAGATGATGGACTTTTTCAAGCATGCTTATATGTCTACTCAAGCTATGAGCTCCCATCCAACCTACGAATCTCTCCAGGATGCCATTGTTCGCGAAATCAATTCCCACGATGCCTTCAAAAGTGTCCCTGTCCCTATTGCTGGCCCACCCTTCACGCCTACCGATCAAGACAAGTTTGTTCATGGCCCACGTACAGATTTGAACCGCAGTGCTTCGGCCGGACAACTCTCGAAAATAATGCGGAAAAGCTCTTTCAAGAAACACAAGAGGGATATCGAATCCCGCCAGAGTGTCTCAAGTGTCCAATCCAAAAGCTTTCTCCGAACTGCACGTCGGAGACATACCGATGCCCCTCTACCGTCTCCAGAATTGGTGGCTGAGCTTCAGCAATCTCGGCAAACCGATCAACCTGGTAATGAACAGTTGACCTACATGGATATCCTCCGCGCGAGCAGTGTCAAATCCACCAATTCCAGACAGGGAATGCGCTCGGAACTCGTGGCCAATATTCCCATCGATCTTTCCAACGCTCCACGCTCTACTCCCGACTCCCGACCTATCACCGCCGGCACCGTATACTGCATGCAGGCGCACTCCGATTCCTCCAACTACAGAGAGAACAGAAGCAGTGTCACTGGCTCCCAGGGGACGTACGAGGAAAGCGATGATGAAATCATTCACCTCCCTAGTGTGGGCACCCCACCCCCTCGCGTGCAAATCGAGGGTGTGGACGAGAACAATGTCCGCTATGTGATTGACTCCGCCACGGCCAGCGACGCACACAAGCTGATGAGTTGGCCGCAACGCGTGCGCCGCGCCAACTCCCCCCAGCCCACCTCCTGCGAGAACAGCCTATCCCCACTCGCTCGTGCTCGGATGCAGCTCCGGGGGACTCGCTCTGTCGAGACATACTAAGCAGGTGTCTCATACCTGTTTCATCGACCAGGAAGAATCGAGTTCCTTCCTGCACCATAATTATGCTTTCATGATACTTCCAACTACCAAAAGCCTATCTGCTTAACCCTCGAGAGTCTGTTTTCTTAGCGATTCTGCAATTGAAGCGTCTTGTTTCGAAGTCACAACCCTTTCGTCCTTCCTTCACATCTCTTTTCTAAACATCCGCAACCCTCTCTACATACTACCATCCAATATTTCGGATCCCGCACTCCTTGCATTTCCTATAACCTCGTCCTGTCCTCCGTACCTTTCCACGCACATCTTTCTCTACCCACAATTCCTCATTCCCTGGCTCGTCGCCCGATTTTCCTATTTCTTCCCCTGGGTGGTTCTGTCTTGTCTTGTTACTGAGTCTGCATATTCTGGAAGGGCGTTACTGTCATTTCTTCATATAATTGTATCATACCAATTGGATCACCAACTACTGATTTTACTACCAATTGACTACCCATTTCTCTCACCGCTGTTTCAAGTATTATAATACCAAGCTAGCTGACGTAGAAGGTGGGCCAATAATTCAGGAAGAGTGGCACATACTGGTAGTTTTCTGGTTTCGAGTAGTCACGCACCTGATTAGGCGACGTTATCCCCCGTACTAGTAGTATTTGCCGAGAAAACTAAAACAAGGCTTGCCGAAATGATGTGCGACTATTGAATCTCTGAGAGGCTCCATTTCTATTTAAATCGCAGTTTTAGTATAGCTATCTTCAGCCAATAGTCAGGGGAAGATCGACATGATAGTGTTGACAAGACTCCTAATTGAGGCGCACGAGCGTTCCATATGCAGGGTCTTCCCCACCCGTTCACCCCCCCATGTAAGGAGCCGAGTCAACGAACCGACGGTCAAGACAAGATTGCAGATTGGTTGCTCATTTCACGACGCATTCGATGAGTTCAACTTGGCTTACGGCGTACATGCACATCACGCAGGAAGAAAGGGGCCAGCACTACGACCAGCAAAGGTGGCCACGAAAGCATGATGCACTATGTATGCTATGCTTTTCCATACGGAGTAGGAACGTTGTCTTGTAAAACATGGCTCATTCTTCTCATAGGCTCGTGTTGGCTAGATACCTTGCTCCTGCAAATCCCGACTCCGCGACAAAACAACTCGCAAGGTGAAAATTGAATTTCAATAACAGGACCCCGTGTTACCCACGCCGAACATAGGAAACATCTTGCAAATTTTTGCACACTTTTTCGGTCCCATTTGACTCAAAATACTCCGAACCCTTGAAAGAAAAGCACCACGCAGTTTCGTCCTCTTAATGGAAGCACATGCTAGTATTCTAATAGATGATGCGCATATAACCGGCAACATTTAGTAAGAGCCTGCGTTTTGGTGTCAGTGATTGTTCTTCTGTAGATAAGATGGGGTAAGGGGACATACGGCCGAACATGCACCACTTCTGAGCGGAGCGGGTACACTTGGGGTTGATACACTTGGTCTCGGCGGTGATTTCAGCGCCGCCAATGCTCTGGTCGAAGGGAATGCACAGACTCTTAGCACCCATGCTAGGAGCCTTGACATCCTCGGGGCCAGACTGGGAAATCTCCTCCTGCTTCTTGGCAGTCTCCTTCTTGATCTGGTCCTCACAGTCCTCGGCCAGACAGAATGGCACAAGGACCAGGTTCTTGTCGTTGAGAGCCGGGACAATCTCGTCAAACTTCTCGATGATCTTGCGGTGGGTGGTGTATTTCTCGTTCGCACGGTTGTACATATCGCGGTGGATAGTCTCCAAGAGCGCAGGAACGGCAGTGCCCAGCTCGGAAATGGGGATAGAGCCCTTGCCCTCCTTGCCAGGGATATCACGACGAGCGGTACTGATAAAGTGGCCAGCCGATTCGCCGGGGCCGAACTCCAGGCGCAAAGGAACACCCTTCAGCTCCCACTATTCCAAAAAAAGAAGAGGTCAGCAAACAAAATTGGGGCACTTAATGGTGTCAATGTGCATATTTGAGATAACATACGTCGGCAAACTTGAAGCCAGGAGAGTAGCCTTCACGTTGATCGTTCTCGACACGGACGCCAGCGGCCTGAAGAACGGTGGCAAGACCCTCAATCTCGGCGTTCAGCTTCTCACGCTCCTCATCGGTGGTCTTCGCGGTGAAGCCAACAGGAACAATAACGACCTGTTTCGTTGTTAGTCTGGTTGTTTTAAAAGCCGTCACCTCAAGAATATTTTCAGGGGGTGTCACGCTGACGGCAGTTTAATTGACAAATCTTCATTAACTTACCTGAGTCTCTGCCACGCGGGGTGGGAGGACCAGTCCCTTGTTGTCGGAGTGGATCATGACCATGACACCAAGGGTACGGGTTGACAGACCCCAAGAGTTCTGCCAGACGTACAGAGGAGGCTTCTTCTCCTCGCCTGGCTTGTTGGAGGGGTCCTCAACCTTGATGTCGAACATCTTCGAGAAGTTTTGGCCTATAGAATCAATCGATTAATTGTGACCTCCAAATTTCCGAAAAGTAACGCTTACCCAAGCCGTGAGATGTGCTAGAAGAAAAATTGTATTAGTTGAGAACTGATGGTCAAGTAACAGAAAAACTTACCCGCCTTGAATACCACGGCCAGTGGCGGGAATATAACCTAATGATTCGATTAGCTTATGCATGTTTGGTATCATGAGCATACTTCAAATATACCTTCGACAGTTGTGGTGTAGAGACCACCAGCTAGCAGCAAAAAGTGTTAATAACGTTTTCGTGATTTCCTCATATAGATGACGCTTACCGAATCTCTCCTTGTCGGTCTTCTGTCCCTTGACAACGGGAACGGCCAGCAGGTGCTCGTAGATATCGGAGTACCAGTCAAGGATTTGAAGCACCTCGGCGCGAGCTGCATCCTCGCCAAGGTGGGCAGTGTGGCCCTCTTGCCACAAGAACTCTCGAGTACGGAGGAAGGGAGTAGGGTTCTTGAACTCCCATCTGCAACTAGTTAGAAAATACAAGACAAAATTCACGTGGATATTTAGTACTTACCGAACCACGGAGTTCCATTGGTTAAGACGGAGGGGAAGGTTTCTGGATAAATTAGATTTGACCGGGCTGATGAACGGTAGGGGGGTGTTTTTACCGGTGGGAACGAATCCACTATTCAAAAGATTAGTATATGAGCCTTCAATATTGTGTGGATCGATGATGATTATATGAACTTACCTTGGAGTAGTATGGGTACATGACAGTCTCCGAGGTGGGACGGATAGCAATCTTCTTCTCGAGAGGAGAGTTTCCGCTAGAGGAATAAAGTCAGAAAACTGGAACAAAAGTCGCATATTTTGGAGATGAGAATCCATACGCATGGGTCACCCAGGCGACCTCCGCAGCGAAACCCTCGATGTGGTCCTTCTCACGCTGCAGCACATCTAGTGTAATTAGTAAAGCTGCCACAGATTAATAGTGAAAAAGATACCTACCTTCGGAAACGAAGAGAGGGAAACTCGCGCTGATTCATAGTTAGTATATCCTTTTTCTGACCATGCGAAGGGCTTTCAAAGAACGAACTTCTTGACACCAATAGACTTGATCTTCACGTTGAACCAGTTTTGAATCTCCTCCCAAATAAAGTAAGATGCGGGCTAAAATATGTGAGCACGCATCGTGGTATATAAGAAAATAGCGGCGATACCTTCAGAATGAAGCAGCCCGACACATCATAGCTAGAAAGGAAATTCCAGGTTAGCCACGGCGCCGAATAACGATAAGAATTTATGGAGAGATAGAACTCACTAGTCCAGCATATCACCCTTGGTGAGTACCTGGTGATACCACTCTGGGAAATCCGACTCCTTCTCGACATCGATACCGATGAGTTCCTTGCCGCTATCCTTCTTCTTCGCAGCCTTCTTGGGCTCTTGCTTGCCCTCCTTGGGCTGCTTGGGCTGCTTAGGCTTGTTGGCCTTATCCGCTTTGTCGGCAGCAAGCTTAGCTAGCTTGGCCGCTTTCTTTGCCGCATTCTTCGACTCGCCCTGGGGGGGCATCGGCGGGGTTGGTGCGGTCAGGCAGGGTCTGGGGTTCAGCAGCGCTGGTGGCAGCGGGGTCGGTGGGGGTCTGGCTAGCCATGTTGAATGAAAACGAGCGCCTGGCTAGGAGAACAAGAGATGCGAACCACTCTCGAGACTAGAATGGGAGATCGTAATTCGGAGGGATATGACTCTTTCAAAAAGTGGGATGTTATCTGCGCCGACCCCACACCGCCGGGCAGAACTTTTAGCGGTAACAAACCAAAACCCCCCCCGTCCCAAGACCAGCAGAGCTCTGCCATCGCACTTAAAAGCCCTCGTCTTTTATTACATTCGCCATGGCAGGCATTTTCGAGGCTCCGCGGAACGCGGACACTCTCTGTGAGCTCAAAGTCCCGTCTGCTTTGAAGCAACGAACTAACCTATCTCGCACACAGTCTTGGGCGGACAGAAAATCACCGGTGCCGATGTCCGGGAGCAGAATGGTATGTTGGATAGAACAACCAGTCTGTCTCAATTGATTTAACTGACCATTCTCCAGTTCTCGCGACCCAGGCTATCTCAAATGTCATCAAGAGCTCTTTCGGTCCCTCGGGCTTGGACAAGATGATGGTGGACGACATAGGGGTATGGAACACGGAAGAACCCCGCAGAGCTTTGGAAAGACAGCTTCTAACAACGTTTGCCATCATAGGATGTGACCGTGACAAACGATGGTGCTACAATTCTGTCTCTACTGGATATTGAGCACCCTGCGGGCAAGATCCTGGTGGACCTGGCCCAGCAACAGGATAAGGAGGTACGGATCCCACACATACCCTGCGCCATCGAACCTTTTAACTAATTACCGCCAGGTCGGTGATGGCACAACCTCGGTTGTCCTAATTGCCTCAGAGCTCCTGCGCCGAGCGAACGAATTGATGAAGAACCGGATACACCCCACCACCATCATCAACGGATACCGTCTCGCGCTTCGGGAAGCCGTGAAGTATATGAACGAGAACGTGACAACGAAAGTGGACAACCTGGGCAGGGACAGCCTGGTCAACATTGCGAAGACCTCTATGTCTAGCAAGATCATTGGAGGTGACGCGGAGTTTTTTCTCTAACCTGTGTGTGGACGCCATGCTCCAGGTTAAGTCGACAAACCAAAGGGGAGAGACAAAGTACCCCGTCAAGGCTGTGAACCTGCTCAAGGCTCACGGAAAGAGCGGTACCGAGTCCGTCCTTGTTCATGGTTACGCCCTGAACTGCACTGTTGCCTCCCAGGCCATGACGACCCGCGTCACCGATGCCAAGATCGCCTGTCTGGATATGAACTTGCAGAAGGAGCGCATGAAGTTGGGCGTGCAGATCACAGTCGAGGACCCCGATCAACTGGAGAAGATCCGTGAGCGCGAAGCCGGCATTGTTCTGGAGCGTGTTGAGATGATCTTGAAGTCCGGTGCCAACGTTATCCTGACGACCAAGGGTATCGACGATATGGTCCTCAAGACTTTTGTTGAGAAGGGAGCCATGGCCGTCCGCCGTTGCAAGAAGGAGGATCTTCGCCGCATTGCCAAGGCCTCGGGTGCCACTCTCATCAGCACCCTGTCCGACCTGAACGGAGATGAGAAGTTCGAGTCTTCATACCTCGGCCACGCCGAGGAGGTTGTCCAGGAGCGTATTTCGGACGACGAGTGCATTTTGGTCAAGGGCACTAAGGTTCACACATCCGCCTCTATCATCCTCCGTGGTGCCAACGAGTACAGCTTGGACGAGATGGAACGCTCCGTCCACGATACCCTGTGTGCCATCAAGCGCACTCTGGAGAGTGGCAGCATCGTCCCCGGTGGTGGTGCCGTTGAGACTGCCCTTCACATCTACCTCGAGGAGTTCGCCGTCACAGTGGTATGTAATTATGTTTTTGACACTATAGATATAGAATACGTCGCTAACACTTGGTTTTCTAGGGCTCTCGGGAGCAACTCGCCATCGGTGAATTCGCCCAGTCGCTGCTCGTCATTCCCAAGACCCTTGCCGTCAATGCGGCCAAGGACTCATCTGAGCTTGTCGCTCAACTCCGTGTTCGCCACGCCCTGTCACAGCGTGTGCAGGATGGTGATGCCAACGAGGAGGAGAAGGCTATCGCCAAGAAGAAGACCTACCGCAACTACGGTCTGGATCTTTCCAAGGGACGTGTTCACGACACCCTCAAGGCCGGTGTTCTAGAGCCCAGCATGAGCAAGATCAAACAGCTCAAGAGTGCTGTCGAGGCCTGCATTGCTATCATGCGTATTGATACTATCATCAAGCTGGACCCCGAGCAGCAGCAGGATGACGGCCACGGTCACTAAGGTCTTGATGTTTTGACTAAGGGGATTAAAAAAGGCAGTAATATTTGATGTTACATAGAAATGAAAAAGCAGTGGATATTATGACCTTCTGCTGCGGCTGCATATGAACCAGATTTTATCAAATGGATATCCTATAGTAAAAAATGTACGAACATGAATTCCCCTTGGTGGAGTAGTAGGATATTACTGGCGCCGTTGAGCCACCATTCGCCGGTATTCCTCCACAATATTCCTCCGCTCGGAAGCCAACTCTTCTCGTCGTCGTAAGCTGCCAACAGCATTGGGCACGTTGGCAACGTCGACCTTTGCACCGCCGCGTACTTTGAAGATCTCTCGGGGTTTCTTCAGTTCTGGCGGCGCCTGCGCAACCTCGAACGGGTTGGCTTTCCTCTCCTTGTCGCGCTTCATCAGCTTCGCCCATGGGTCGGGGTCATCATTGGGGACATCCCCAGTGTTGCCCGACTTCTTGTTCTTCTTTGGCACAGCTCCCTTCTTCTTAGCTTTACCACCCCGTCTCTCTAAGTCCCATTGCTTCATAATCTCAATCTGCTCTTCCATCGCCTCCTCGCGTTCCTCCTTCTCCTCTTGTTCCTTCTCCCGAATCTTAGCCTCATCCTCACGCCAACCAGCCTGCAATCTTCGCAGATGCTTTTCGTGCTTCGTCATCTTGTGATCGCGATCCTTGCGTTCACCAGCCTGAGTTTTGGTAATAGAAGCAAGAGGAAGCGCACGGTCAACGCGCGCCGAAAAATCCGACAGCTTCTCGCCGGGCAGAATCTTCGGCATCACCTGCTTGGCGTCCTTGCCCGCAGCTTCTTTCTGTTCGGACAGCGTTTTGGCGGGCTTTTTGTTCGATCCGTCCTTTTTGTCCGCATCTTCGCGCTTCCGCTTCTTATTATCCGCTTTGCTCTTCTTTTCGCCCGTCTCTAGTCCCGAGGGCGCTCGTCGGCCTGTGGTCCTGAACTGCATCAACTGGCGAAAAGCTCGGGGAGTGTCGTCCTCCGTGGCGCGCTTGCTGCGGGTATGTTCCAGTGATACGGCATTCTTCTTGCTGCCACCTTGCTGCTGCTTTTTCACTGGCTGCTTTTGTCCTGGCTTCTTGTCGTTCTGGGCCTTGGACTCTGGATTGCGCACGGGGAGTGCCTTTGCGATCACCGAAGGCGGGAGATCGAATTGTCTGGGCGGGGTTGGAAGGTTAGATAATCGTGGAATGAGTCCGATGGTGTTAAATATATAGCTTACGAGACATCTTTCTCACGTCTCTTGTGTTTGTGAGGCATGGTGTGTGTTGGGGTGTGGAGGGTTGGAGTTGTCCAGCGGAACTTTTTTTTCGGAGCAAACTTATCGGCCAATCGTCTTATCGCTGCTTCCGCCCGCCATTCCCTGATTCCTATCCTGTACCTTATCGCATAGGACATCTAGGAATAGGATAGTACTGGGACAAACAGAAGGCCACCATTCTTCTTAATCTCCTAGATTAGTCAAGGTTTTCTCATGACACTGGATAGTTACTAGGTAGCTGCACGCACGCAACAAGTACTTGACAAAATTGTTGCTGCTACCAACGGTAAAGGCACCTGAATTAAAAGAATCAAACTATCGATCCTGATATCCTTGAGGTAGCATAGCAAGTCTCATATGGCGCTGGGCAGTTGGTGGGTTTTAGACGGCTTCAAACGACTTTCAAATTTCCGTATATGTCTTCTGATGTCCTTGCAACTCTCGCCGACCACGCGTCGAAAGGTATAGACCTCAGATCTGACAAGATCGCACCTATCTAGTTGTCCGATGCAGCCTCTAAAAGGCCTCTTGGCCGTTATCTATTTTAAGGCCACATTGTTCTAAGAGTACCTAGGTAGTTGATGGCTTGTGTGTCTGTCTAAAACACAAAGTTATACCACCTTTTCGCACATGTCCCAGGGGTTTCGTGGCAGGGACGTCAGGGTTGAGGCACTCGAAATATTGCAGCGTCATATATTAGTATTCAGTGTCATAATCTACACAACGTATTGCCTTGATGACGAGGTTGACTACTAAAAAAGCTACTCCTTAAGACACTTTATGTAGATGAAGATAAACGATAAATTGAGGGCAACCCCCGAGAGATGCAGTAATAAAGCAAACGGGTATGCTACGCTAATAGAAACAATGCCTCCCTAAGACGCCATAGATAATGCCCTCGTAGATGTAAACGCCAGACAAACACCTCGCGTATGCAAAACAGGATAATGATAAAAAGAGGGTGGGAAGGTAAAAAGGGCTTCGCAGAAATCATTCGTCTTCGTCATCATAGATATCTTTCGTAGCAGCCCAGCCGCATTCCCAGCGCCGGCCCTCTGTCTCACCGCTATTTCGAAGCTCGCGAGCCTCGGGTCCTTCGCGCCAGCATCGGGCGCTGTAATCATCGCTCACGGAAATGAGCTCGCCGTCGTTGGTCCACGACACTGCCGTCACCTCCCTGTTGTGCCCTTCAACGAGGGGAGTGCCGGACTGGTGAATAGGGATGGTATCTTCCAGACGGCCAGACAAGCCAACCCCAGAGTTGGTACGGCGGAGGCCTGATCGGGTCGTAAACAACGACGTGCGGGTAGGGAGACCGTCGTCCGGGGTTTTGACAATAGGTTGTAGGAATCGTTCATCGGTTGGAAATAATATGGGACAATGGTCACTGCTGCCAGCCGCTAGCATTTCTGGGCGGTCGCCAGATGCTTTTCGAAGAGCGAGTTTGACATAAAATGAAGACACTTGGAGGCGAGGATGGCGGAGCCCGTAAAGAGGCCCCAGGCCTTCCTTGTCAGACCCCCCAGACCGTCGCGGGCGATTATTGTTTAAAGCAAGCTCGGGAGCATGCCCAAGCATAAGGTGGGAGGTCGAGTATGCATAGATCGTCCCGTCTCGGCACAGGGTGTAAAGTCGCGAGCCTTCGCCACTGAAGGCCATGGATGTGAGGCCGAATCTGCGGTACTTCATGTGGCTGTCGGGTTCTCGTGTGGTAGATAATGGAAGGACAGGTCGGCCACGGCGGTTGTGGTGTGCTGTTCGCAGATCCCACAGTCGAACGCTGGCACTAGCCTCAGATGCGGTGACAAATAGGTTTTCCTGGCCAGGAGGAAGGAATGCCAGGGAGGTGACCGTAATGTCTGAGCGGCCAAAGGGAGGAGCTTCGTTCTTATCCATGCTCGATTTTTGTGGGGTGCTATAGGCATGAGCACCGTGGATCGTGTTGAGAACATGGGGATAAGTCATCTTGCGCGGTGTGGTGTTGGTGGAGTTTTCGGTCTCGGTTTCTAGCGAGCATCTCACTTGCAGGGAAGGACGTTCAAAGCCTTTGCATCGGAGGTCCCAAATGTTGACGTTTCCATCCCGACTGCAAGTTGCAAGAACTTTGTTGTTGGAAGCCGGTTGAAATTGAATCCGCTTCACAGATGATACATGGTTCGATAAACAGTGGACAGGTCGTTGTGTGGTCATGTCAATGACCAAAGAAGTCTGGTCCCCAGAGGCCGTGGCCAGCAATGAATCGTCCGAAGAAAATTCAAGATCCATTATGGAGTTCATGTGAGGACGAAAACCGAGATACGCGCTGGAGAAACCCCGTTCGTCGTCCTTGGAGGAATCCAGCAGTCGAATGCCGCCTTCTTCATCACCAACTGCTACCAGAGAATTGGCTAAAGAGGAATGTTAGAAATCTCAATTGGCCAGAAACATGACAACGGAGTGACATACTATTACAAGAGGCACTGCAGAACGGAAGGGCCATAGAACCTTCGGAGGCTTGACTGGCGCATGAATGGCGGTCCTCGGGTCGCGAGTGGAAATCAGATGTGACATCTTGCCAGCCTGGAGATGATTGTTAGATGAATGATCCAATATTATCCCTAGTACAATAAACTAACCAGCTCCAGCAGTCGAACGAAGAGTGGTGCGGCTCGCCAGAGAACCCTGAACGGTACGCATAAACAACGAGCCGGACGTTTGCAAAGCTCGGGATCTACTTATTGGAGATACTGGTCGCCGTTTGGGAGGAATTGCTGGCGTTCGGTCAATGTAGCGGCCTCTAACAGTTGCGGGATCGATATCTCGGATGGTAGTCCGCTGCTCCACTTCGTCGCCCATCGGAGATCGCACACGGACTTTTTTCAATGGTGAAGATTGAATGGGCGAGGCGGCGGAGGAAAAAGAGTGCTTCCGTTTCCTACTCGGAGTGCGCATAAAATCCTCTGGCAAGCCATCGTAGGCGTTCCTGGTACTTCCAGGTTTAGACGATCTCGTAAATGCGGGACCGAGTCTGTTGACAGCAGGCGAGTTAAGGGCTCTCAAGGCCTGGCGGTTCGTTCTGACGGGGCTACCATTGCTTCCACTATTTAACAAGGAGCGTGGGGTGAAGAACCGACGAAAGGATCGAGGTGTGACTGTGGGCGGTTTTCTCTGTCGTCGCCCACCACCGGCTTCGGATGCGATAGAAGGCGGGGAGGATGGGATTTCCTGGGATGAGGGAGGGAAAATGGGCTCTGATCGGGGCGGCTCACGAAGACCAGAAACCAAATCCATGGTGTACACACGACAGAGGGAGGGAGAGGGAACCTCCGTGGTGGATTAGCATGAAGAAAAGATTTGTCCCAAGGGGGTAAGATGGGAGCGGGTCGTGTTGCGCGCAAAGACGTGACTTGGACGCGCGAGCGCGGCGTGGGGCGTGGTTCGGCCATTTTTGGTGTTCAGGCACCCACCTGGCTTGGCCTGACCTATACTAGTATGTATACTAGGTAGAGATGGGTGTATATCTGCCTATTTTTCTTGAGAAAAAAGATATTTTGGAAAATATGAGATTTATTCTTGTGAATGAGTAAAGTGAGGGATTTCCTATACCTAGGTAGATTCAAGAGTTTATGGTGGAGCAAGCATGCGAGTACAAAGAAATTTATAAGTTATAATAATAATATTACTAGTGGTAATAGGTAGTGGTATCAAACAGGCCTGGAGGACAATGAAATTTCAAGATA